AAGTAATCCATTACATTGAAATTTGTTACGATGCCCCGAAGATGTCGCGCAAATATTGGTCGGAAGAACCAATTGCCAAATCGTGAGTCGGCCCAGGTTCTCACACCTACATCGCTATTGACCGCTTGCTCTTCAAATCGAAGCGAATAAAATTGAGTCGTTCTGTGACGCAGTTATCGAATAATGTGATAATTACACGATTTTTGAGAGGGACTTACAAAGGGACGGAATGCTTGATTACACAAAATTGCTTTAAGTTCCAATAATTTGCCTTTAGTACTGTGTGGATAATGAAGTGTACTAAGTATATATGTATGTACGTATATATTTAAGGTTTTATATGAATATATAACTGGAGTCTGAATAAAAGAAAAAAGTATTTAGGTTATATTATATCAACCAGTACATGCATACTTATGTGCATATGTACTTATGTACATTCAGCTAAATAAATCTACCATAATGGGTCAAACTAGAATGAATGGAGTAATGGTGACATCATTAGTAGTTGCTTGAAAGCGTGTTTGTGTTACTACATTTATTGTTTACTCTGCTATCTACTTTTATCTTTTACTAAAAATATGAGAGTGATATAAGCTTGCAAGGTTTGACAAGGAAAACTTATTGAGAGATACATACGAGGTGTGTTTAGCAAATAACCGTTATTTTCAATTTTTTCAAAAAGTACTTATTTATTCATCAATAACTGTCTTGTCCAATTGAAAGTAATCCGCCTCAGATATAAAACACTTATGCCAGCGTTTTTTCCAAACCTCGAAAAAGTTCTGAAACGCGTTTTTTGGTACCACCAACAGCTCCTGTTTCGATTTTTCTTTTATCACCTCAATCGTAGCAAAACGCTTTCATTTCATCGGTGGCTTCAGTTTTGGGAAGAGGAAAAAGTCAGCGTTGAGGCATGATAACAGTTTGGTTTTTGGTCAAAAAATCATGCACAAACATCGATGTGTGAGCTGGTGCGTTATCATGGTGCAAAATCTATAATTATTTTATCCACAATTCTGTGAGTTTCTAACGAACTGCTTCGCGCAAACGCCGCTTAACTTCTAGGTATTATTCCTTATTCGTACGATCTTGTGGTAAGAATTCATTATTTATCCAAAATGATTTTCTCCACTGCTTCAATGTTTTCATCGGTTGTTGCCGTGCTCGGGCGACCAGGACGAGCGGGTTAGGGGTTCAAGAATTTACCCGCGGTAAGGCACGCTTGTCGTAAGAGACGACTCAAATCCAATTTTTCCCACTTCTTTATACCGGAATGACACGGATTTTTATCAGGCCAAGGACCGTCGCTACCGCAACATTCGCCAAAGAGTACTTTGGGGAATATTTTTGTGTTTATAACAAAAACAATAACAACAATAATATTATCATTGACATCATCTCGGTCTTCTTTAAACCGGTTATACCACAAATGAACTTGTTTTCTGCTCATACAAGGCTCGCTAAGCGCCACAGTCAACATTTCAAATGTCCTTGCACATTTGATTTAATTTTTTGCACAAAACTTAATACAATTTCTTTGATCCATTTTTTCGAATAGTAAAAAATCGAAGAACACACCAAAACACGACTAACCTTTTTATCTGTAAAAACAAAATGACAATCCAAAATGGCTGATATTGCCTACATATATAGCAGACATGTGTACCAACATAGCAGAAAAAAAGCGAAAGTTGAACATACGTAGCTCAGGAACTAACAGATATTTTCTGATCACACTTGGTATATGTATGTATATAACCTCTTCATAAACTTTCTTATCTACTAAAAATATTTAAGAGATAATCAAGCAACTTCAAAAAATACACCACATATAATATTAAATTGGTATCTTTCACATATACAATTGTGTGAGTAATAATAGCAGTGGCTAATGGAAATTTAAGTAATGATTTTCTTACATTTAAATAATACCCGTAGATTAAATTTGACAATGCCAGAATCATTTGCATTTCCATTAGCCACTGCTATTATTACGCACGCAATTGTATCTATGTACATCTACCATGCATATATGCATATATGTACCATGTAAACAACGCGACTACCCCTTGCACGCGTGGAATATATACTCCAAACGGACAATGCAGTAATCCAAAACTAGCCACAATCCTTAAAAAAATGCGGCCCATATACTCCAAATTTGCATAACATCCGAGGAATTTCATTAAGTACATGAATGAAATTAGTACTGAAATTAATTAAAAAAACACTCCATTTAATACCTATAATGAGATACATTATGGAGTATATACAATAAATGGCAATTCACTTTGGTCAATGCAAACATACATGAATACTAACTGCCCATGTGGGTTATAGGCTCAAGAATTTTCTCGAGATAAGGAATTCGATGCACTAAAATCTAATAGTTTCTGAGACCGTCCAGTCTATATACTGCAACGACCCGGAATTTTATCCCGCCATGCACTGTCATTTCCAAAATATTCACCGAAAACAAATTCGGCGAATATTTAGCGGTTACAACAAGAGCAACAACAACACATAAATACTAACAATAGTTTTTACATAAATCTAAATTAATAATGAGTTGTCAATAAATATATAACCAAACTAAAGCTTATGGAAGAGCCCACCAACGAAACGAAACTGACTCAAGCAAATCGAAATCTAGTTGTTGCCAAATTTTACTCTAACATGCCTATTCTGTCGAGGTTACAAAATTTACCCTGGTGTTAAAATTTACCATTCAGTAAATTTTGTTACTATTTCGTATTCTGAGTTCACTATCCCCCTGTATATGTTTTTACCAGCGAAATAGGAGGTAACAAAAAATCTACTGTTTTTTATGATTAAATAACACATAAATACAACTTATTTATTTTGAAGTGCATCGTCTTTCATTTCGATGTGCATAATATTCTTTTTTACTTTACTAACTGGCAAATGTAATTTGACAAGGACGAAATAAGCAGTGCTGGCCAAGTTTTTTCAGACATTGTAGCCAGTTCGCCAGAATACCAAATTCAATTTTGGGTGTTAAAAAAAGTAACAAAATTTACTTTACCCGTAACAGAGAGAATAAGCTTGTAAGTTTAAATTAAATCGAACATTAATTCTTCGAGCTGTTCGATCCTTATCTATATGCGAAAAGTAGTTTATATCCTTTTAAGACTTACTGATTATGCTTACAAAAATCAGTGAATATTTTATTGTGAGAGTTTTATATACATATGTACATATATGTTTGTATAAATACAAATACAAATACATTTGTAGGTATCTACATTTTCATAAGTCACTGAAGACTATAATCGCAAAGATAAGATACCTCCGTATGTACGAACCACAAACAAATGAAAATAAGGACCACGGCAACAGATTCTAGTGACTTTCTCTATTTCGCAAAGAACGATAAAAAAATCCTAATAAAGGATCACCTATTTCAACGTATAAAAATATCTCGTAACCGGTAGCCGTAGAATACGATCTTGTTTATTTGCAAATCACACTAAATTATTCCGCGATCCCTTTTCCGCCAAGAAAGTATTATTTACATTTCAAGCGAATTGAACTTGGTTGCATGTCTCTGGTCCATTTTTAACAAACAATAATATTCAAATTAGGTGATAAAATTTAATGAAATAGATCGAGGAACAGTGCTAAATACAGAGCGATAAGGTCAAAATAAAAAAGTGGGTATAGTCTGCCCTGTTTTTCTGATTATAATGATATAATTTTTTTTGGGGCAAACTTTTATATTCGTAGATATTGGGAGGCAAAGGTAGAATTTTCGAAATTTATAAAACGCTGTATCTCAAAAAGTTGTACACCAATATTTAAAAATTTGATATCGTAAAGAAAGGTAAGTGAAATTTCTATTTAAATCCATATATTAAAATCTTGTAAAGAGATATACAATTTTTTTTTTAAAGAAAATATATTTTTTCTTAAAAATTTGTCGTATTAACCGTAATTTAAACTACCAAAAAATACCTTTAATTTGATATCTAATATGCAATATACATAAGTTCTCTTAAATAAAATCATACTCGCAGAAAATGGCAACAACTCCTTTGTAAGTTGAGGGCCTTCCGCCGCGCTTCGGATTGTAACCCTGTATGAAACCAACACTAAATTTTAAGAAAAACTAGTATTTATTTAAAAAAATATATATTTTTTATTGTATAGTACATTGTATTTTTTTTTTTAATAACTAAATTTTTTCCAATTTTTTTTTTCAAAAGTATAAAGATATGCTCGTCAAACAGTAGGAATTTACGTCACCTTTCCAACTATACCAAATTTATGAAATTTTATGGTTGGAAATATAGCATTTTATAACTTTCGATAATTCGCTTTTCAAAAATAAAGTTTGCCAAAACCGAAAAACTTATATCACTTCACGGAGGTAAAAGTAGTATTACGTTAATCTAAGCAAAAAGTACCGAATTTTAAGTGATTCTAACCATAAATATCATAGGAAATTAGGCCTCCTGCTAATATAAGTAAAAAGGCACCAATGTACAGAATTTCAAGTTATTCGAGCAATATAGTATGAAGTTTTAAGATTAGGTCATTAGATGCAAATATACAAGCACAAATTTTATATACATATGTACACACTTATATACCTACATAGGTTATTAAAAAAAAACTCGTTAAAACAAAACAAAATATATGAACAAACCTACATATAGATATTTAAATATATATTAAACATTTGGTTAACTTATTATTATAGATAGATGTGATTTTCATACATACATATGTGCATATGCATATTCATATAGCATTAGCACAGCTCCATATATGTATATATGAATGTATTTGTATAAGATAGCGGGATTTGTAAATAAATACGAATTAATATATAATTAAATCACGAGAATAGTTTTTATTTTGAAATAAATTTATGCGTGAACAGAAAAGTAATAAATATATGTACATACATGTACAAAAATGTATTTACATATGAATATATACCACAACAAAAATTAAGACCTGCCCCAACGTACTTATTACTTACAGTGGTTAAGTTCTGATCGTTCATATCCTTTCAATTGGTATTTTGAGGGTTAAAGAAGCTACATATGAATTTACAAGTTGAATGCGACTTTAAAGCAAGTGTTCACTATGTGTAAGTGTTCACTATGTACAAGTGTTCGCTATGTTTTAAAGTTGTGAATGAATATGTATTCCTTTCGTCCTTGTACCCTACCACAGCAAATACACAGCTGCAAAAAGTTGATGAAGGGTGTTTCCGCTGGGGGATTTCTCACTTGAAGTAGGATTTTTTTAACTAATATGATAATGAGCAAATGTCAATCATTCACTTTTTTTAAAAGTACACCACAGAAACTAAACACTTAATCAATTTATAATAAAACACTTGGCACTTATTTAACATTTATTTATGATACAGATAATTTTTCTTAATATTTACATTCGATTCGAGTACATATTTCTAGGGTGTTGCAAATTTTTTCCATTCACGTATACACAGAAAAACTGAATTGGAATTTTCCTTTCAAAAGTTTGAAGTGTTTCGAGTTTTCTGCATGAAATCATTGCATCTCGACTCGAAATTCACAAAGCACGTACACAACTTGCGAGAAATTCAACTTTTTAAAAACTCTAATTTCATTTAACATCAATTATGTATTCTGAATAATTAAAAACGCCTGAGAAAATTTAGCAACCGTGCGCACCCATCAACGCCATCTTTCCTTTTGACGTCGAGAAATTCAACATACACGAAATAGTAAAAGATTACACTCTTGACAATTAGTATTAACAGGGTGATACGACTTGATGAGTATTCAAAAGACATTTCAGAACCAATACCTAGATTTTTTTTTATTTGGAGAAAACCAAAGCTCTGTATATTATTCCCGCTAATTATCAGATATTTATTATTAGTTGGGGACGCTTTTCGAAATAGGAGCAGGTGTGATGGTTGCTCTTTCAATAGTGGGGCAAGCTTTTTCGGAAACAGCTGATTCAATTTAATTAAAATGTTAAGTTGCCATGAGTAAGAGTTAAATCAAAAATATACTCGTGCACCTATAAGCCCAATTTTCATAAATGTTTTACTGCCACCATTAAAAAACTCAAGAAATAATTTATTCCATGTTCAGACCGACATCTAAAATCTTTTGAAAACGAGTTTTGTGGGTTGTGGTTTCATGGTTATTCGATCCTGTTGTCTTATCACATCTGGCTTTTACTCTGACATCAGCAACCTGGATTCGGTGTCTATTGAGCGAATTTCGTTATAATATGCAAAAACTGTACAGTAGGAATTTCCATGAAGTAACATCCTACAACGTTGAATAATTTCATTATTTTATGAGAACTGTGGCAACTCTTGCACACGTGCTTCTTGAAATCAAAACACTATCTATAGTCCTTTAGTTTATTTACCCATGTAAAAATAATATTAGAAATACAACGAAAGGTTGAAAAAAACTCACAATGGCTCGCCGCAGATGGGGTGAACTAGAAAAAGTTACCCTGTCCTCAGCTGTACTCGAAGTAATTGAAAGCTTTGGTTTTGAGAGGACAACTCCAGTGCAAGTACGTAATTTGGCGTTTACTTGTAGCTTTTTTTAATTTGTCCTTTTAAAGAGCGCAACTATACCTCTTCTTCTCGAGCGAAAAGATGTTAGTGTAGAAGCAGTGACTGGATCTGGAAAAACATTGGCATTTTTGGTTCCTATGTTGGAAATGTTACAACGGCGTCAAACTGATACACCGTGGACGTCAAAGGAAGTTGGTGCGCTGATTATTTCCCCAACGCGAGAATTAGCATTTCAAATATCCGAAGTCTTGGATAAATTTTTGGAAAAGAAAGAATTGAGTTACTTACGGCAAAAATTGATAGTTGGGGGTAGCAGAATTGAAGAAGATATTACAGCGATTAAAAAAGAAAGTCCCTGCATTTTAGTATGTACTCCCGGTCGCTTGGAGGATTTATTTCAAAGAAAAGGCGATCTGAATCTGGCTGGAAGGGTGAAAAGTTTGGTAAATACTTTTTCTGTTGATGACGAAAAATAACTTTAATTTAAATAATCCAAATTCGTACATAAAATATAGGAACTTCTCGTACTGGATGAGGCTGATCGTTTACTTGATCTAGGGTTTAAAGCAACTATCAACAACATATTGGGATATTTGCCCAGACAACGACGTACTGGACTCTTTTCTGCTACACAGACAACAGAGATAACCGATCTTATTCGAGCCGGCCTTAGAAACCCCGTTCGTGTTTCGGTTAAAGAAAAATCGAGCATTAGTACTCCGGTGAAATTGCAAAATTTTTATAAAATTATAGAACCAGAAGAAAAGTTTTTAGGACTAATACATTTTTTACAATCACCGCTAACATCACATGGAAAAGTTATGGTATTCTTTCCCACTTGTGCCTGTGTTGAGTACTGGGTGATGATAATGTCGCATTTTCTACATAATCGCTGTGTTTTAGGAATACATGGTAAAATGAAGAATAAACGTAAAAACACAGTAGAAAAATTCAGACAAGAAGCAAATGCTGTACTACTTTGTACGGATGTGCTGGCTCGTGGCCTAGATGTGCCAGAAATTGATTGGGTGGTGCAATGGGATCCACCAGCAAGCGCAAGTAGCTTTGTTCACCGCGTTGGACGCACGGCACGCCAAGGCAATGAGGGAAATGCATTGGTATTTCTCCTACCGACGGAGGACGCATATATTACTTTCTTGAAAATAAATCAAAAAGTTGAGTTGAATGAATTAGAGAATGCTGATCATGATAAGGAAGAGTTGGGGCGAGTACTGGAGAAATTGCACAGATTACAGGTGAGTCTAAACGGCATACTATAAGTATAAACATTGCAAAATCAGGAAAAGCTATACGATTTTTTTTAATTTAGTTAAAGGACAAGGACATTTTTGATAAAGGTACACGGGCTTTCGTTTCTCACATCCAGGCATACTCAAAACATGAATGTAATGCAATTTTGCGCTTGAAAGATTTGGATCTAGGAAAAGTTGCAACATCATATGGCTTACTTCAGATGCCTAGAATGCCAGAGTTAAAAAATCGCGAATCTACGAATTTCATTGGACCCAAATGTGAGGTGGATATATCAAAATTAACCTACAAGAATCCACAAAAAGAAAGCCAACGCCTTGAAAAACTTAAGATCTATGAAGTGAGCGGTGAGTGGCCAGGAAAGAAAAAGTTTAAAAAGCGTACAGAAGCTTGGGAGCAAACAAAGAAAGCTAAAATGGATACAAAAACAAAAAAAGAATTAAGAAAAGCTAAGAAACAGAGGAAAATAGAAAACGATGTGAATAAACCGAAGAAAAGGAAACCTCAATATACACAGGAAGATTTAGACGAGCTAGCTAACGACATACGTCTATTCAAGAGACTAAAAAGAAACAAGATTTCTGAGGAAGACTTTGATAAGGAAATGGGCATTGAAGATTAGTTACTAGTTATCTATGTTCAAGTATCACTATTAATTTTGTAAATAATATACATGTAGCCAATTTGTTATTTTGCATGTTGATGTGTTTCCAATAAATGGAAGAACCTACGGTTTATACTAAGCCGCCTCTGAACGGCTGAAAAAACAGCAGTGCCTTATTTCCTGTCAGAAATACAATCGGAGTGGTAGTCATTCCCTAACGAGGGGCGACCGCAATAAGAAAATTAAATTACTTAACTTTCTTTGTATTATGTAAAACTTTATTGAAAATTGTACTTTAGGTACGGCGCTTTGTTGTGGAATACATTAAATATTATGTTAATGACAAATAATGCAATGAAGTAGTACTGAAATATTTCTTGAATGTGTCCTATGAAATTCATACGAAGTTTACTAAACAGCAGCTTCTGTGACAATCTGAAGAATTGTGCGCCGTTTTGGGTCATAAGAGAATCCATTTTGTTTAAAAACATCCGACTCATAAAATGGTTTCAAATTGAAAATGTCCAACTGCTTGGCTCGTTCAATGAGGTCTCTTTCCATTATTTCAACGTGTGTTGCGCTCGGACCCTCTTTGCAACGAATGTAGGCTAGTTGATCAAGTGTCAATTGTCGAAGAATAAAGAATAACAATTCAGAGTGATCTTTTTGGAAGGAAAGATATTTCTGGAATGCTGTTCGCATCTTCTTCATTACACTGAACTTCTGGGCTTCGATGAAGCTTTCTAACATCATTCTTATAGCCATGCTTACATCGGACTCAACAACATTTTCACGTAAATGCATTCGGGCATGTGCTTCGGACATCCGGATAACGCTTTCAATGTGTCGCACTGTTATTGGTAACGAGCCGGTAGCAAATGACTCTTGACGAAGTTGAGCATACATCTTGGCTATTTTATCCTCATCAATGTTCTAAATAATGAATCATGTTAAGTATTTGAATCCTTTTCAGATATATTACACTACTCACCGTTAGTTTAGGTCGGACATTTTCTTTTGCATAAATAATATACTGACGCAAAAGATCTTGAGGTATTTCAGAAACTCCGGTTACCTGTGAATCTTCTACGTACTCTTCGCTTGAGGGATGGTGTTTAATATGAGAATTTACAACGAACTTAGCTAAATGTTGGTCCTGCATAGGATCAAATTCATCTTTAACGACACATAGAATATCGAACCGGGAAAGAATTGGTTCCGAAAGATTAACATTTTCAGAAAATGTCATGGACGGATCGTACCGGCCGCCAATGGGATTCGATGCCGCAATTACAGTGCAGCGCGCTTGTAAAGAAGTTACAATTCCGGCTTTTGATATCGAGATTGACTGTTGCTCCATTGCTTCGTGAATTGATGTTCGATCTTGGTCATTCATTTTGTCGAACTCGTCGATAAGACATACGCCTTGATCGGCCAATACTAGGGCACCTGCCTCTAAAGTCCACTCACGCGAAATTGGATTTCGACGAACGTATGCCGTCAAACCTACTGCGCTGGCACCTTGACCTGTGGTGAAAACAGCTCGGGGTGCAATTTTTTCTGTGTATTTCAAAAACTGAGATTTGGCTGTCCCAGGGTCGCCACAAATCAGTAGATTTATATCTCCTCTCACTTTATGTTTGTCGCCAGGATTTTTTGATTCTCCTCCAAATAATGCCAACGCAAGTGCACGTTTGATATAATCATGACCATATATAGACGGAGCCATTGATGCAATTATTCTCTCCGCAATTCTTGGATCTTTACTTAATTTCTGGATGGTAGCAATATCTTCATCCGTGAGGGACTGTACCACTTGCTTACTGTCCTTAACAATTATATGATTTGCAATTATAACTGTAGCGAAGACCGGAAAACCTTGTTCAGTGTTTAAAGAACCGTCATAGTTATTTGTGTAAATGCCAGTCACCTCCAGTTCATCACCTGGCTTGCATAGATCGCAAAGATCCGCTAAAAGAATGACGTCCTTACTACGAGGAATTCGACCAGCTGGAATGCGACCAGGTGATTCTTGCAATGTAATCTTCTGGTAATTTCGATAAAGTGTTTGTTCCATATTAATCTAAAAATTAAATTAATGAAAATCTTTGTATATGTAGGGGAAAAAATTATTTTTGTTATAATTTACCGAAAAAGGTCCAGCACTTTGACACTCAGGACATGATCCCGGTTTCACTTCTGTATTTTGTGATTGTACAAATGGTCCTAAAACGTACCCACATTTCACGCAATCGTATTTTATAACTGAAAGTTGAGGTAAAACTCCCGTTGTTGCTGTTACCACACCAAGAGTACGAACCAATTGGTTGAGATGCAATTTGCGAAAAGTACGTAGTTCTTCTATAAGAGGCAACTCTGAAATACGTACATGGATTTCAGTGGTAACACGTTCATATGTGGGAAATATTGACAAAACCATTTCTTTCGCAACCTTATCGAAGATTTCTAACATTTGAAAAGGTGCCTCAGGCAAAAAGTAAGCCAATACATGTTCCTTGTTGGCCAAATCTGTGTATGATACAACAAATGACGACTTATTTTGTTCACACATTCGTCGAATACGATCACGGTAGGTGTATATGCCTCGTTCGTCAACGAAAGAACGCAAAAATGATTGAAAACGATTTGCAATTTCAGTGCGTGGTCCAAGCATACTAACCCATTCCTTAGTGGAATGACCTTTGGTATCTTCTAAATTTTCTATGGACTCTATCATTTCTGCATCTTCTATTTCTCCCTCTGCTGCTTTTTCGGCCGCGCGCCGTTTTGCTCGTGGTCCAACGTCATCATCGTCATCGCTTTGATCAAAACCTATATCACGATCATCACGATGAATACCTAGAGCACGATCACGCTTTCGCATTTCAGCCTCTGCTGCCAGCCGCTCTCCCTGTGACAACTCCGAGAAATCATCTTCATCGTCCAGCATTGCGGGATCATAGTGATCCAACTCAGGCATAGGCCGGTAGTCGTTTTCCATATTATCACCAAATAATTCTTCACCATCCTCATCCTCCTCATCTCGTATGGTTTGATCGCCCAGAATTTCATCCTCATTTTCGAATGGTTCAAAATCACCTACAGGCGAAGTTAAAGCAGCACGCAAATCCCGACGATCATCAACATCACTCGGCGTTGCCGGAGGTGGTGAACTAACTTGATCCTGTGAAACAAACTTTTTATTGATAATCATGATAAAACTTGATGTTACTCACTGCCATTTATTTACAACAATATTTATCTTCAAAATCTAAATATTATTCACTGCATCCGTATAAACGCACACAGTTATATTAAAAGCTGCATTTACCTTCACGCGAAACAAATTTTGGCGCGAATTTCGATAGAAATCTATCAAATTCATACAAATGTCAAAGCCTTTAAGGTGCTGTTAGACTCACCAAATAATCATTTTTCAATTCACTGTCAATAAGAAATCGAATGTCGATTTTAACAGCAGTCAGTCGGAGTTTACATAAGAATACTGTTACGATTTTACTAAATCAACCTCGATTATTTTCTAGATCCTTCGGGTACGATCTCTGGATTGTTAAATAAAACTCGCCAACTTAATTTGCAGTTTCTTTCGTTACAAAGAATTTATCTAATGTCCTTTATTTACTTCGTAATACACAATTCAATTACAAGGCACTTTACTAGCTACAATCACTTGCATCAACTTTCACCATTTACTCTACTTAAATGTAATTCCCAACACGTTTACTTTACGATTTTACTGATGTTAACGCCAACGAGTTTACTTTATCACTAACTTGACTTGCAGCTGAGTGCCGCCTTTATATAGCAGTCGGCTGCTCGCAGACGAAAGCGTAGAAGCATCGAATTGTTCGCTATGGAAGGTTCTTGTTTTATCGTTTCTAGAACGTACTAGTTATCGGTTTCTCTCTTTTCTGTGACATTCGCCTCGCATTTTCGCAACAATACTATTGTCGCTTATTATCATAATTTTCTTCTTTTTGTCGCCATTCACGTTCACACTGAGACACTTTGTTCAAGCAATTTTTTTTTTAAATTTTTTTCTTCTAAATTTTTTCTATTATTATTTATTTCTAGCATTAATTCAACTAATTAGTCCAAAACCACATTCCAATTTCGATATTTACGGGATTTATTCGTTTGAAATTTAAGGCAGTTACAACCAGTTCAAAGAGAAAAACAAAATAAAAGGGATTGTTAAAATCCACAGATAAAAATATAATAGAAACACAAAACGTGTCGAATGAGCAGGACACGGTGCGCTGTCGCCCTCTCCCCTACAAACGAGTGTTTCGTCGACAAAAAGTATCCCCGTGAAAACTCGGACTCACAGAGCATAAAAAATTTCAAATTAGAGTAAAATGAAAAAAAAAATTAAACGAATATTTAATTACCATAGGCGCCTTTCCGTCGACAGAAACCAAACACAAAGCGACTTAGCTGATACAACACGTCTTAAAAAAGACTACTTTGCCGTACTTTCCATTTTGTTAGTAAAAGTGGTTTTAAACGAAAGCATGAAAGTTACATATCACACACATATACTATACTACTATCCTCCTCCTCGTACTTTACTCTATCCTGAAAAATTTTTTAGTTCTGAGATATTTGCAAAGAAAAGCTGAAAAAATATTGTTGCTCTCGTAGCGGCTATTCAGCCCCGCTTAAGAGCAGGCTAGACTTCTCTAAGTCATCTAATGAGACGTCCAAGAAACGAGCTGTTTTGACGGATTCTGGCTAGAGTAAAAGGGAAGTTGGATGAGTCGGTTATAAGGGACATGCAATGAGGATATTTGTTTCGAACGGGGTGTCATTGCATAGAGGACATACGTTTGGTATGTCGGGGTCAAGTCTGTATAAATATAAATTAAGTCGACCCCAATACCCAGATCTTTATAGTGTCAGTGTTATTTGTGCCTCTCGAGGCAAAGAGTGGTGCTTTGATTACGAATATATCGTTCACTGGAAGAGAGTTCAAGAAGAACTCGCCCGGTAAATTGACTTGTATGTTGCAAGCAACGTTTCTTAGTCGTTTTCCTAGGTGGCAATCGCAGTCGTATACGGAATGAAGGAATGCACACTGTTACTTTGGGTTGTTAGTCGAAGCATTTTTTACGCCATCGACTTTCATATCGTACTCGAGCCGGTACTCCATTGTCCAGATAGAGAAAAAGGTGGTCGTATGATGAACAGAATTTACACATGTCACAGGATGCACGTACGCCTGATATGTTATTACAAATGTCATAGCAAAAAATTTGCTGAAGACGATTTCCGAGTGTGAGGTGGATGGTAGAGACGGATTAATGCGAACTGTTAAACAACGCTATGGTAGTGACCGCAAGAGGCAAATATACCAGATGGAGATAGATAATCACAATCAAAAATCCAATGAGTATCTGCAGAAAGTTGTTGATAACATCTAAAAAGGTTAAAAACAGAGGTTTATTATCGCAGTGAAGAATCTTATGCGAATCCCAATTCAACAGAGCAGGAAAGTGTTTCACTTGTGGAAAATCGGGTCACTTCGCACGCGATCGCAGGAGGGGCTCTAAAAAAAATTAATGATGGAAACCATCATTGATTGCAGAGAACTAGCCGTAGGTGCTTCTATTGGAAAGAAGGACATGGATAATGAAAGGCATGAAGGGAAGAGTTGGAAAGCAAAAAACAGTATAAGGGCTGATAAGGGTGACATCAGACCGGGCAGTACAAACGTTGCGAGGGATTCTATTGATACTGGACTATCGGAGACGAAACGATGTTACAAAAGAAGAAAGCAAACCATTATCAAGGATCGATGACACTTTTCACTCGTTAACTGGCACAGAATCATTCTAAACACTCGACCATATGAGCAGCTGTAAATTTACGCGTTATTTATGAAAGAGGTGAATTACTTACATAGGCGATGAGGAAACAATATAGGGGTCTGTCTGCGAAGGAAGATATAAAAGCAGTGATGACTTTACCAAGATTCAAGAATTGCATCAGTTACGGAATTAGGAAAAATAGAGCATTCCAGTCGATCAAGGAACAGAAGAAGGTCTCCAAGTTTTGAAAAAAACGGCTAGCCTACTACACCCTATGCTAGCGTACCCTGATGCAACATTTATTTTGGTTTCGGATGTTTGCCATAGGTACCGAACTCGCCTCTCAATAAGTACATTGTTACGCGTGCTGTGTGGCATCCGGCACCGTCTTGTTGAAACCAAATGGCATGCAAGTCAGACTCTTGCATTTTCGGCAAAAAAAAGTTTGATATCATCTCACGGTAGCTCTCATCATTCACAGTTAAGTTACGATTCGCATTATCTTTGAAGAAGTACGGTTCAATGATGCCACCAGCCCATAAGCCGTACCAAACTGTTACTTATTCTGGAGGAATTGGTAGCTCTTGCAATGTTTCTGGCTGATCTTTACTCCGAAATCGATAATTCTGATAATTTACGCACCCATTAAGCCAAAAATTAGCTTCGAAGCGCGCTTAAGAAGCACGCGATATCTCAACATAGCACGCATTTTGATAATAAAATTCAATAATTTGCAAGCGTTGTTCGTTTGTAAGACGATTCATGATTAAATTATAGACCAAACTGAATATGTTTGACAGTGATACAAAACACAAAGCGTGAGTCAGCTGTTTAAACCAGTGTTGCCAAAAAGATAGTAGCTAAAAAATCACCCTTTAATAGCATTACTAGATTACGTCAATTAATTATCACAATCAGCGGTACAAACAACGTTTCCGACTCCGTCGCTGGATCATAGAGCGCTAAAGTGTCCGGCTAATAACAATTACACTACCTCAAGAGTGGAGTCAAGTCATTTTCAGAAATGCCGTCATGAAGATCCGGTGACTGGAATTTCTTATACACGGAGTGGAGATAGTAAGGAATAAAGGTCAGCAGAAAGTCCAATTGCAAAGGTGCCCTGGCGCAGTGGAACGGTCTGTTATGCCTGTCTTGCCTGTTTGTTTGCATAGTGTATGTGAAAATGAAGATGTTCAGTGCTCCTGCTATCTAATAAAAGTCAAGAAGTTTAGAATTTCGGGAGGTTTTAAAGTATTCCTAAATGTTTCCAGCGAAAGACACTTGGGGATTACGGAAAGCATGAAAAAGATCAAAAGCGGATGTATTGGGTTGAATATCATCGATAGATCGCGGAAGCCACGGACAGATGCAGAAATATAATTGAAGCTGCAGGTGTATCGAATTCGAAACCAGTATGAGAATTCTCTATCGTATTATAAAGATTTTCGGATCGATATTTTTAACGATATTCGCTATTCTCTAAAATGGTATAACGATTTTCGGATCGCAGAGAAGACTTAACGATAATTCTAACGATTTTAATATTCGGTGTACTTGTATTAACGATATTCGCTCTCGCTATTGTCGGCAAATTCTCGAAAACCCGCTAACTAAGCTACGAATATTTTTAAGTTGTTAGCGATATCGTCATAATTTTGTTATTTCAGTGTAAAGTGTCCGGAAAATTGTCTAATTTATACAAAAATAAAAAAATAAAATAAAAAATATTTGGCATACGATTTATCACAAGATGAAGAGGTATCCTACCCTTCATCTTTAGATAGAAGTTTGCGTCGAGAAGCGGAAGATCCTTTTTCATTTGTATGCTGCTGAGTTTCGGAAGCTATATAGAGTAACGCCGGATTTAGGTGAAGAAATCGTTTCTCAACTATATTGTCAACTAAGAGGAAGAAGAATAACAGCATTGTCCACGGAGAAACAGGTAATAATATATTTTTTTAATATTTTTTTTTTAGTCTTAACACTATTAACATGTTTAGAAGTTCTAACCGCCTTGCGATCTTTTGCAACTGGATTCTATCAAAGTAAATTCGGAGAGCAATAGGGAATATCCATGAGTCAGTCGTCGGGAAGCCGTTGTATTCATCGCGGAACATAAGTAGTCAACGCAAATAGAGCGGATAGCTACGGAAAAAATGTTTGCCCCATCATCGTCTCCTTTTGTTAGAGGCACTATTGAGACTACCGATTGCATTCATGTGTCCATCATGAGTCCCAGAAATCATTCTATCAATTTGTAAATGGTGAGAGTACATTTTTATCAATTTCTATTCCAGTAACGTTCATGTTGCGAAATGCGAAAGATAAAGTGCGAAATAACAACAATCATGCGCCTATCGATGTTAAGCTGTTCTCTTCGCATGACCGCGCCCAGCTCTTCTAATCAATTGCATCTTTGTGTAAGTCCCGCAAAAAATCCCACTCAATCTCTGACGTGGACCAGCCCGTTTATGGAAAAGTATATGATCATGAGCGTTTGCCGAGAGTTGTCGTATGCCTCTGAGCTCCTTAGAAAAAAAAAAAACAATAAACGTCTGCTTTCTCCATCAGAGGCAAAGTGTATGTCAGGCGAAAACCAAATGAAGAGTATGTTCTACTGCTGAAGTGAATGCTCTTATAAGAACAACAAAAAATATGTGACGTCGCCTATACTCTGTCAACTCTATGTTTGGTTAAGAATTTAATCTAATATTAATTTATTCTCCTTTTCTCTCATTTAAAACATATACTTTGTTAACTTCTTTTTCTCTTTTAGTCTATTATTTCGTTATGTGCTATAGTTTAGCCATTTTATGTAGGGGTTTGTTTTATATTGGAGAGCAATGCCTTCGGAATTTTCGATGTCTTGACCCTTATCAGACATTTTCGTTTCAAAGACTATGACAGCACATTTAACATGGTGCACAATGCCTCCCTTATGAATTCAGTCTGAAAATGAATTTAGATACATTTTTAAATCGTCTGATATTGATTACGCCTGAGATCTGAACGTCAGTTCTTTGTTTTTGCTGTTCGTCTTTAGAACGCTCTGCCACAAAGGATCAAAAGCATTCGAAGTACGTTGCGCTTTATAAACAATCACCTATATCCCTTTGCGTAATCTATTGATTGTTAATATGCATGCTTATTATTATATTTCATATATTGAAAATATTGCTTTTTCTCTAATAAAATCCCTAACCCTGAACGTTATTAACATGTTTAGAGAGAAAAGGACAGCGTTATTGTTTTAATTAAGATGTTATAATTATGCTTTATTTTAAGTTATTAGAATTAAGTTTAAGTATTATAAAATAACTATGGTTGTGTGTTTGAACAAATAAATAAATAAATAACAGAGTTCATTATATTTATACATAGATATGCGATCCTTATCACAAGATTTTGGCGCGTCACGATTCTTTCATTTGGAGCTCCTCTACGTAGTGAAGAGTCATGCGGCGTAGTTTTGAACAAAGGCCAAAATTTTGTTTTCCTGTAAATTGCTAGAAAATACTCTTATAAATCATATAGAATTTTTTCCGAAGGTCCGCAAGACCAAGAAGTAGGTATACAAGGAAGGACAGCGGGGAGCAGAGCATGCCAAGGGGTATAGTGTAAAATTGGTTACACTCTCTTATTTAGAGCCTATTGACCTTATCGGCATGAACTAAACAACAGGCATTTTTTCAATTAATGTTTTTATATGTCTGTTTATCTACAAAAAAAATAAAAAATTCTTAGAAAAAACACTTTTTTTGGAGGAAACTTGCATTTATTTCAACGAAGATACTACGAACTTCAGCGGCCGACAAGGTCAGCCTCCAGCTGAATTAATTTTTAAGCGAATTTATGCTTTCTATTTGACAAATTCAATTGGTTAGTCAAATTTTTCACCCACTCCATTTCATGTTTTCCATTTAAACCAGCTTCAAATATTCAAATTGAAAAAAGTGTGAGGAAATCCAGCACAGTTCGTTTTGGGATAGGGCCTTAAGGCGATACGCTTTTTTATGAAAAAAGCTGTTTTAACGTTACAAGCTTTCCGATATTTACTTAACTTATCGAAATACCTATCACTAGTTGTCAAAACAATACTGCACATGTTTGGGTTATAAGTCAGCGCGAATATTGCTTTTGATTTTTATGAAATTAAACAAAAAAGTTTATATCTGAAAAAATGCGTAATCTTAAGTTGCAGTCTTGCAAACAATTAGAAGCTAAAGTGTCCAATATAAAATATCTATTGTTGGATCCCAATGCAAATCGAAAAGAATGTGATTCAGTTGTGTATGTAGCATCCGACTCTCAACTCTTTGAGGTAAAAACAAACATTGGCGCTATTAAAGAATTAGCAGCTGTTCCTGGAATAGTAGCTGTTGAGTATTTAGCTTTAAATAATGAAATTTGCTTAGCGACAGAAGCAGGTGAAGTACTTGCGGTATCCCCTGAGACGGGAACCATAAATGAAAGTACTTTTTGTGATGTTGGCTTGCAAAATATGGCTTGGAGTCCCGACCAAGAAGTTGCAGCATTCATAACGAAGACAAATAATCTTGTCGTTATGACTTGTACCTATGACGTCATAACTGAGCATGTATTGAAAGAACAATGTGATCCTGATAGTCAGTTCGTTAATGTTGGTTGGGGCAAAAAAGAAACGCAATTTCATGGAACGGAAGGTAAAACTGCAGCGAAAAAAACAAGCGATTTTAAACCACCGAAGAATGTTGAGCTAATACCACAGGTGTGTTGTATTTTTCTATTTACCCTTTGAAGCTATAAATTAATTTTAATATAGGACATTGAAATAACATGGCGAGCTGATGGTAGTTATTTTGCTGTATCTTTTGTTAGTCTTCAAGCTGGTCGAATGTTTAAAGTGTTTAACAAAGAGGGCGACTTAAAATACATATCTGAACGATGGAATGAATTGCAAAGTCCAATTGCCTGGCGGCCGACAGGAACATGGTTAGCTATTCCTCAACTATTTCCCAATAAAACTACCGTGGCACTTTTTGAGAAAAACGGTTTGCGACATCGTGAAATCTTAATGCCTTTCTCGTTGATTGATCAACCTATACGGAGTCTACACTGGAGTAATGATTCGGACATACTGGCAGTTGAATCTTTTGAGACCTCCACAAAGAAACAGCATATATATCTTTATACTATTAGTAATTACCATTGGTATTTGAAGCAGGTGTTAACTTTTGATGAGGCAGATCCTGTCTCATGTCATTGCTGGGATCAACGCATAGGTGAAGAAAAGACAATGCATTTATGGCTGAAGAGTGGACGCTATTTCATTTATCGCTGGCGTTTCGATTTTGATCGGTTTGAACGCAGTGGCATTGTAGCTGTTATAGATGGTAATAAATTGCTGATAACAGATTTCTCAACGGCCGTTGTGCCACCGCCAATGAGTAGTGGCGAAATACAGATAGAAACATATATTAACGCATGTGCCATTACAAAGGATAACAGACATGAAATGCAAATATGCATTTATGATGCTAATGAACAACTGCAATTGTTTAGAATTAAAGGTTCTGGTAATATGTTAAAATTTGATAACATTTGTACTCTAAAACGAGGTCACATAGAGTTACAGAAGCACATTGCGCCACCAATAGAGATAGGCAACTTCTTTTGGTTCGATGAAAGTAACTTGGTAGCAACAGTAAATATTGCAAAAACAAGCAAAGTACTTCTACTTTCATTAGACATGGGTTCAAAAACATACAACGTCGCAACATCATTGCACTTGAGCAGCAACGCTGTCAGTAGCTGCATGGGTTTCGCAACATTGGAACAGTGTTTCGTGCAAACAATCAATGGAAAAATTAATCAAATTTCGTTGCAAAGTGACAACACACTGAAATTGGACAAATCATACCAACAAATGCAGCAAAGTGCGCTGCGTTTGGAGTGGCATCAAACACAATCAGCACAATCTGATAGTCTTATTTCCTTGTTAGAAAACCAACGCCTTTATATTGATGGCGAATTGGTTTCGGGGGATGTGACGTCATTTTGTTTGGCAGGCAATTACTTGGCATACACAAAACTAACTGAATTGAAATTCGTTTTGTTGTCTACACGCCAACATGTATATTCACGAAATATGGAGCGTGGCGGTCGTTTAGTTACAACTATAGCCAATGATGCGCGGGTGGTGCTACAAATGCCGCGTGGAAATTTGGAAGTTATTTCACCGCGTGTGTTGTCCTTGGAGATCATTGGTCAGTTACTGGATCAAAATCGCTATTATGAAGCGTTCAATATATTACGAAAGCAGCGAATTAATTTGAATATAATATGTGATCACAATATGGTAAACTTTGTAAATAATGTGCACTTGTTTTTAAATCAAATAGCTAATCCGCATTGGCTAAATCTTTTCCTGACCGATCTACAGAATGAGGTAAGTTGTTTTGAAATTACTTTCGGGTTCATTCATTTTTCATTATATTATCTTGAAGGACTTTTCCAAAACAATGTACCACAGTAATTACGTCACAGCCGAGAATGTTTATCCGGAAGGGTTTGATATCGCTTCTAAGGTTACTTACCTATGCGAGCTTTTGTGTTCCTACATGACTGGAAGTGGGGATGACCGCTTCCGGTTGCCTATAATTACCGCGTATGTTAAAATGGGCAAGTTGGAAGAAGCACTTCAATTAATTTGGGAGGTGAAAAAATATAAAAATGAATTGGCCAAAGAAACTACAGAACCAGTAGACGAGGCGGCCGAAGAAGCACTCAAATACTTGCTGTACTTGGTCGACGTTAATGAATTGTATAACGTGGCTCTAGGCACATACGATTTTGGTTTAGTCCTTTTTGTTGCGCAGAAATCTCAGAAGGATCCAAAAGAGTTCCTACCATTCCTTAATGAGTTGAAAAAGCTTGAAGTTAATTACCGTAGGTACAAAATTGATGAGCATTTGAAGCGCTATGAAAAGGCTCTTGAGAATATCGTTAAATGCGGGCGTGAAAAGTTTACCGAAGCCTTGGACTTTATCAAACGTCATGACCTATATAAACAAGCCTTAAAGTTGTATCAAGTCAATGGGGACGTTATTAGTACAAACCAAGAGTCTCGAAATAACGTACTTGAATGCCAGCAAGAAATCTGTTTGGCTTTCGCTGACTATCTGCGTGGCAAAAATGATCTCGAGAGTGCAAGCATCATGTATGAGCGCGGCGGAAATATCGCACAAGCGCTACTCAGCGCTAAGCATGTATTGGATTGGCGACGTGTTCTAATGTTGGCAAAAAAGGATTCGCAGGATGTAGCTACTATTGCACTGTAAGAAAGCAAAATTCATTATTTTTAAAACCATTCTGCTTAGTTTACTTCACATACACATAAATTTATATGTAAAATATTGATAGAGTAAGTAGATTAATCAATTAAGAGGCAACTAAGTACCCTTAAATGGGGAATTTGTCATTTTTCATGCCTCCGCCCTTTAAAAAAAGTTTCGAGAGTATAAAAGTCGTGATGATTCAGTATCTATTAATGCAATGGGCGGCCGCGGTAGCTGAGTGATTAGCATTGCGTACTGCCATTCGGAAGGCCATTGTTCAAATCGTAGTACTACAAACAACCAACAGTTATAGAAAATGAATTTAAATTAAAAATTAAGTTGACTTGCTGTCGTCCCTTGGCAGGGAATGGCAACCCTTCCAAGTATATTTATGATATGAAATAAAGGGCCCTCATAAAAAACCATCAGGCGTTCGGAGGCGGCTTAGTATAAACTGTAGGTCCCTCTATTTGTTGGAAAAACATCAAGACGCAAAACCACAAATTAGGGAGGAGCGCTGCCGAAAATAGTTTCAGCGGTTACAAAGCGCCAATTATATATATTTAAGCAATTAAATTTATGTTTTATAAAGGTGTACCCACAAAATGTGACTTCTCTGGATCTTGATTTCAAAAGTACTTATTTAAGTAAGGGTGCATATCGTTCAAATCTCTGGCACTTCCCTTCCCAATCGTATAAAGCCACAATGTAGCATACTCTTAGATTAATTTTTCACTCCGGACTTCAATCTCTAAAGGTTTAATATATTGAAAGATTGTTGAAATAGGTTTAGAATCAACCACTTCTCTATAATAATATTTAGACTCTCTTTATAAAGTATTTTCATTGATTTAGATCCATGATGCCAGCACTGCTCGAACAAGGCAAATACGAAGTAGCTCATCAATTGTATAAAACCTATGGCACCAATTTCAAAGATGCTTTGCAGTGTCTTCTCAAAGGAAATCTCTTTTTGGAAGCGATAATGGAAGCACGTTTGAATAGCGATGAAAACGATTTGTTGGAAGGTCTTGTCAAGCCAGAGCTGCTTATGTATAGCAGACAACTAAGACAACAATTTGTTGATGACGAAAAGCAATTTCTTGAGTATAAACAACGTTTGAATGATGTACGTATCTTGGCACAACAAAAACGCGATGGTATCGTTAATGGCTATGATCAGTGTGATATTGACGAAGCAGATCTGCTGTCTGACACTACCAGCTTACGGTCATCACGATATACGGGCAGCTCGCAGGGCACAGGGTACGCTTTCGAAATATGTATATATTGGAAAAGCAATTAATAAAAATAAATGTATGTATTTATTTCATCTTTATTTCCGCTTCAGGAAAACATTCCGCTCCAGCAAGAACCGCCGAAAGCACGAACGAAAATTGCTTAGCTTGAAACCTGGTAATCCTTTCGAAGATATTGCTCTTATCGACGCCTTGTATAACCAAGTGGTGAAGTTGGCCAACCAACAGCAGCGGGTGCGTGACACATGTAAAGCATTACTCGAACTGCAGATGGATGATGTGGCGACTGCACTACAAACACAATTCGGCGTCTTACTAGCATTACTTCAAGATTCGTTTGATGCGATATGGACAGAAGAAATGGTGAATGCTCAAGCTATGCAGTATAAACCAACACCTTACACCGATTACACAAAACTGCAAAATGAGCAACGATATGCTGTGCTGGGTAAGTTTTGAGTACAACGGTAATTAAAGCAAACGCATTACTGTGAAAAATTTTTCCCATAGCTCCCCATAAACGTTTCAAGCCGCAACTGAATCTTATTGATTGGAGGTGTGAAATACTCGCTTGTGATCATTAAATATTTGATAGATAAAGGTAATAACATTTACGTGTTTGGTTACTAGGACTGGTCTTGGGTGAAATGTGTAATCGCCAAGTTTAACAAAAATTAATGCAAAAGTACTTTAGTTCTTAAATAAAAATTGTATTTACTTTGAAATTTGTATAAAGACAAGCAAAGCACTAAAATTTTAAGGCGTCCAATATTCTATATATTAAAATACGTTTCTATCTATGGCTCGAATCGAAGTTTCTTGGAAAGGTTGCGGGCTATCTAATGCCGTTTAAAGGTAAGTAACACGTTGAAATATTATAAAAGTCATGTGGTCATGTAGACCAAGGATGCATCGTAACTTTAATTTTCAAGGTAATCAAAACCTTGGCAGCTGCAGTATCATCTTTCACGCGAAATGTTATAAACATATCTTCATAAACGTAGCTCCTTCTCGTGCTGTCGACGGTAGTATTGAAAACGTCAAAAAGGTGGAGGGGGTCGATCCTTTTAACATCGGTTAGTCACATGATGGAAATCTGGTCAATTGCAAATTAGCCAGAAATGAAGACACTGTTTGCAGTTAAGCCTAGGAAGCTTGAAAAGCCCTGTCGTTGTTATGGTAACGGTTCACTAGCTCCGCTTAGGTACAGGTTTAATCAACCGCCTAGTCGTCGAGGTCATCTAATAGGAGGTCCATGAAACGTGCTGTTGCGACGGGATTGGACCAGAGGGAGAAGGGGCTTGGATGTGTCGGTTTGTGAAGAGATGCTTAACTCGCTGTCTGCAATACGTGATGTTTTTTCCGAGCATGCCATTCACGGGAAGGGAGTCTTTGAAGGTGTTCCAGCGGTTGTTGCACATATTGCTGGAGGGTATCCTTCATGTTTAGTACTCACATTCTGATGTGCCTATTGGGGTGTTTCCCACGCCAGCATCCCTATAGAAACTCTTTGCTCTTTAACTCGCTGTTGTTGTTGTTGTTGTAACCGCAAATTAATCCCCGAATTGGTTTTCGGGTAATATTGCGGGAGTGACAGTCCTTGGCCGGATAAAAATCCGGGTCGTTCCGGTATAAAGACCCGACTGTCGCGGGAACTATTGGATTTTAGTCGCCTCTTACGACAGGCATGCCTTACCACGGGTAAATTCTTGAGCCCCTAACCCGCTTCGCTGTTCTAGTGCGGCTCCAGTGACATCGGAAGCGGTCCTGAGGGCGGTGTGGTGACAAGCCTATAACTTTTTGATCTGCGTCTCGTTCGTCCTCGATGCCCAGGTCGGTGCAGCATTGTTAACATACAGGCCCGACACTCTCCGATGTTCCGATCCCGGGAATCCCTTAATCAGGGATTTAAACGCGGAGATTCGTAGAGTAGTCAACAACCATAAGCGCAAAAAGTGAGAGGAACATTTTAGGACCTGCAACCTCTCCTTCTGGGCTACATTCAAGTCAGTATCTAACCCGACGAGACGCGATGACCGGGTGGATATCTCATTCGGTAATTGCGACTCGTCAGACCCGAAGAGATGTGCGAGCTATTTTGGCCGACACCAGCGGTGTGCTTGATTTCTTCAGGGAGGAGGTTCAGGGCGTTATCGGGAAGGCGAAAGCCTCCAAATCCATCGGCCTCGACGGAATAAGCATGGTCATGCTCAAACACCTAAGACCAGCGGAAGCAAAATTTCCCAGTAGCGAAGATACTTGAAGGCTTACTGCTCCCAAACTTAGGGTAACTCTTTCTGGTGGAGGAAGGAGTTTCGAGATATAGAAATTAAACAGTAGCGGGGAGAGGACACCACCTTGTGTAACCCCTGTTTAATTTTTCTGGGTTTTGATGTTTCATCTCGGAATGTTATCAATGATTGTCGACCACCCAGGTAGCCCACGACCCACCTCTGCAACCCCGAAGGTAATGAGAATTCCTCAATGTTCGTTAGTAGCACTGAATGATTAACTGTGTCAAAAGCTTTTGACAAATCCAGTGCTCCAGGACAGTTCGCGCGCAGGGCTGGTTTGCGGAAGCCATGCGGATGTGCAGCTGCAATCAGATGGTGAGTAATTGTCGGGAGCTGTAAGGCCTCAAGGTTTGGCTAAAATAGCTCGCGAATTTTTTTGGGTCCGACGAGGCGCGTTAACCGATCGAAGTTTCCACTAGGTCATCGCTTCTCATCGGGTTGGGCAACGATTTGATGATTGAAAGTTCCAGATGCGACGTCTTATGGAATTTTCAGTACATTCCGTCGGGCCAGTTAGTTTTTTTTTAAGTTAACAAATATCCGGTAGTCCGCGGAAACAAAGTAATTGGCACTTGTCTCAAACTTAGCCCCAAAAAGTGCTAGTTATTCAAGAGCGAGGTAAGGCAGTGGACGTTTGCACTGCCAAGGATAATATAAGCACAAGATCCACTGGTTTGCTTGAATTGCTGTTTCCTTGGGCTATGCACTGACAATGATCAATTTGTTACGAATGTCACCTCCATGAGCACCCTGGGTAGAACATGAATCAAGAGGAAGTCTTCCAAGTTCTGAATAAATAGATTTTCAGTTCGCCCACCCAGTTTCAGGAGCATCGTTTATTCTGGATACGGATGCTAGTAATGATACCATAGGAGTCAGTTTCCTGCTACAGACGGTGAACTATTAGCTTTAGTGGCAAGCTTTCGGACGTGAACATTTTGATAACATACCACAATCGTTTACAAATGGGCGTCCACCAAAAACGTTCCTTTATATAATCATTTAATCTTCATTTAATCTCCAATTATTAATGATGCTGTGCAGACGTGGCCTTAGCAAATTCATTACATTACGATTGGTTCATCAAACACATCACTTATTTTAACGATTATTACACATACAATAAAGTAAAATATCGATACACAATTTGAATATCTCTCATTTTTACAGTCACCGTTACTTTTCGCATTCCTCGGCGTCGCTTGAATTCAAACTTTTGCTTAAAAGTATCTGTGCAACTTTTAAAAGATTTGAAAATCAAAATGTCAGTTATTTCGTCGGAAGGGAAAGGGAGGAGTGGACAAGTCATGGAAAAGTTAAGAACGCGAAAAACTCCAATGCGCATATGTAATCGACGTACTCGTGTTTCCGGGGACAAAAAAACGCAGCGTAGAGGCGGCGTAATTGTGACCATGTCTGTTGAGCACAGTGAAGGAATAGCTTTAAAAACATTAGAAGGCGTAGCAGAGCACCACTCAAGACAAATTTCAACAACATCGGCATTATTTGGCCCAATGGGTGTGTCGATTGGAGTTGTATGTGAGAGTACAACTGAAAATAAAGAAGGCAAGCGTTTAATAGGGGTCTCCATTTAAGCAAAAAAAAGCAGATAAATCTGAAATAATATCTATCCTGATAAATACATTTTTGTATGGAAATAATGTTTATAACTTGTAAATATCTGCAGTTAATCGCTTTATCTGTTTAGATGAAGACTCGTATTATGAATTCAAGTACTTATTGGCATGAGTTCAGTATACATCCCGTTCAGGTAAAATTAAACAAAAAATGCACTTTGATTGCGCTTTTCTTCTGATTTAAATGATGAAAATTTTATTCGCATATATTTGGAATGTATTAAAATTTTAAAAGCCCCGGGGCTTTTTATTTACCAGTTCGGGAGAAGGCGGCAAATTCATAAAGGTGGTTCATTTGAAAGCACTGTATTTTTTTTCTGGATAGGCAACAGCCATAACCGCATCATTAAAAAGTATGTTGACGTTAACTTTACCGATGCATTTTGGAACATGATACATCGTCAAAGTTTGCACAGTTGCAACTTATGAATGCGTAACCATGTGTGATTGCTATGCAACTGACGTTTTGGAACTCAAGTACGCGTAATTTGATATTTATTGGTTTGTTTGCGTCCATATTAATATTGAACCCATAAAAGAATTTTATATATGTACCTCAGGTTGCTACAAAGTTCCATAATTTGTGTGGTGATAATGCCTTAAAATAAAAATAGTGTCGAAGTTGCTTTGGCAAATCGCGATTTTTTTTCAATCAAAGATAATCCACATTCATGTCGGCCAAGTGAAGTTGATTATGACGATATCATGGCTTTATTCGAATCAGAGCGTTATGTAACTCAACGTGTAGAGAAGTTCCACAAACCACTTCAAAAGTTGATATTCACCAAAAGAAGATTACTTTGTCAGTTTGGTGGGATTGTAAGGGTTTGGTATATTTCGACCTGATTAAAGGAACCAAACAATTAATTCGGATGTACTATGAACAATTGGACAAATTGAAGACATTCATGATGATGTCGGCTAGCGCTTTGAATTTTTTGTTGCGGCTCTTGAGTTTTTCGACAGTTAGATCGCACAAAGAGTGAAAGGCTTTGACCGGATGAAATCGGTCAACTCCGGTGCGTAGAACCGCCTGTTGGGCGTGCTTTCACCCGACCACATTTTGCAAAGAAGCCGGTGCATGCACCTCATTAGTTACATAGCTCGGCCGGAAATCCATGGACCCCGCGACTTCGTTCATGGTCGGGCAATGAAACATTTGTTCCATCTTCATCGAATCGAGTTCGCCATCTCCCGTGGTTGGACTTTCACTGCCTAGCAGAAGGTTGGAGAAGTGTTCCTTTTCGTGCATTGCCTTGTCTCCAGCTTTTCAAGCTCTTCATACCCACGCCTTTCAGCCTCTTTCTTTTCTTTCTGCAAATGTATCTTGCGTCCCTTTTCAGCTCTCGGTATCTTTCCCACCCTACGTGTAGAGGTCGATAGCAACGTCACAAGTCGTTAAGGACTTGACAGGAAGTAAGGGGATGCCGGCTACCGAGCGGACCCAGAAGATTTTAAAGGCAGTTTTTTCGAGCGTTTCACAGAAAATGTATAATTTAAGTTATAGTTAATAATAATAAATTAATATAATAATATTTTATTATGACAGCGGAGCGCGAGCGAGGGCTGTTGGTTTTAGAAACGAAATTTAGACCACAAAGGATATGGGAATCGGCGCGTAATGGGGCACACGGAAAAAGTGGGAGCTGACGGGTAATTCCACGCGCACGGTAGTTACAGTGATTGTTTAAGCTGGCGCTTAAATATACTTCCCGCCCCTTGTCCAACGCACTCTCTTGCGGCGCTGTTATGGAAGGCGGGCGGTGATTATTAATCGTTGCATCCTGGTCTTGCGGGTGTAGTTGTTGCTGTCTTTCTTCTTGCCACTACCTGGTGCGCTGGGTTTGCGGCTGGCTTGCGCTGTACGGATGTACCTTGGTGTATCAACGTGTGATGCGCTTTTTGGCAGCGTTTGCAGCTGCTTGGCGAATCACATTCGCCCGTAGTGTTCGTCAACCCTAGGCAATTGATGCAATAGCCTTGCGCCCTAGCTACTACCAGTCGTTGTGGCGGCTTCATCGGCATAATACGCCACACATGCGCAGAGGGTGGTACTTATGGCAGAGCATATAGGATGTTGTTTCCTATTTCTGCTGTAGAGGTCAAGTGTATGGCTGTTTTTGTCCCCATTTTCTGGAACGAAAAGATAAAAGAATAGTGCGGGCAGTATTAGTATATACAGGGTTCGCCATCTAACATTTTTTTTTAAACTAGTGGTTATTTTGAGTGTGGTAACACTGATGTTACATCTGATTTGACAGAAAGTTAGTTTTATCCTTACGCTGAACGAAAATGGTTGTGTATACGATTGAGGAACGCGTTAAAATAGTGCAGTTTTACTTTGAAAATGTGTGCGAAAATTACGCACGGAAATGAGCTGTAACAAAGTACCGTCCGCTCCGTATGTGCCCTTTCTTTTGAAAAAATTGGGAGAAACCGGCACAATTATTGATAAACCAACGCGTGAGAAACCACAAAAAGTGCGTACTGCCGGTAATATCGCTGCTGTGGCCGAGAGTGTGCGTGAGGCGCCCGGAACATCAGTGAAGCGTCGCTCTTAACAATTGGACATTTCCGGAACGTCCCTTAGGCGTACAAAGTTCAATTGGTTCAAGAATTGAAGCCACGAGACCATCCGATGCGGTTTGCCTTTGCCGAATGGGCATTTGTTTTATTGCATTTAAAAAAAAAAATGTTACGTGGCGGACCCTGTATGGCTAAAAAAAAAAACAAATGGAAGTTTAATTTCTTTTGTTATGCTATATTGTGATCTAAGGGTGCTCATTAGGAAAAAAGCACAACTTGACCATTGGGTCCGTTAAATACGCGGTTTAGGTACGTACATCCAAACTCGAATGTAGTTATCCGGTCCCCGGCTGACATCTTCAATTCGACTGAGTCGCCACTCGTTGGGCAGCATTGGGTCTTCTGTGACTTGTAGCTCTTCTGTGACTTGTAGCTCTTCTGAAGATCTTTGAGGTATTCCTCCTTCCAGCGTTGCCTGAATTCTTGATGAAGGACTTTAATCTTCTCCCATCGATTGGTCAATGAAAGGTTGAGTGCAATAAGGTTAGCGATGTCTTGCGAAATAGCTGACAGAGGTTTCAGTTGAGGACTGCCTCAATTCGCTTTAATAGTGTTGTAAATTTCTCAATTGAAAACTTATGGGATGTAGCGGTTTTTTTTAGATGAATTTTGAAGCTTCAAAGTGCTGATTTTTTTTGTCAGGCAAAGTCTCGATTTAGTTGGGATGATGATTGGGTGTCCTTCATTGTAACTCTAACGAGTAGTGAACCATTTTTGTTGATAGCTGTTTTAGCTCGCAAGGCATCTTTTTTTCTAAGAAAATAGCTCTTGGGAAATATCGATGATGCGCTTCTTTGCGACTTGGCATTCCCTATGTGTCAGATGTGGCAAGGTGAGTAATGATTGCTGCTTGGACATATTTCCGCTTCCGCGGGGTAAGGTTACCGTTTTCAACGGTGCTTTTGATAGAAGGGTGGAAGTTATTTCATTGTTAGCATGCGTGAGGATGTAAATTGTTGCACAATATGCTTTCTCCGAAGCATCACAAAACCCAGCGGATTTGGGTGTCATGCCTCGGAGGGAAATTAACCCCAAATGTAACACTTTTCAGGCAGTAATCGGTGACAGGAGATTCGGTCGATTTACGAAATATGATTCGCTGAAACTGTTTATCGTCGTTGTGAATCTATATCTGACGATACATTTTTTCGATAGTTCCGTTGAATACAAACTTGTGCATGTGCCATTGAAGAATGAGCAGCAGGAGGTCTAGTTGGAGAGTAGGACCAGTATGCAAAACATCCTAGCGTATTGCCTGAGCTCGATTTTTTTGAGGCGTTAAACACCACTCGAACTTTAGTCGTCAAATTATCCGGTTTTAAAACCGCATGATGTGGCAAGTAGACTGAGTGATAGTTACCACTGGAGATTATTTCACGCGGACAGGTGAACTCCATGTGGTTCAGGTCGCGATATTCTTGCAAAACATTGTTGTACATGTTTTACTCTTCTTTTTTCCTTAAGCGTGCGCTCCATACTGAAAAATTGTTGAAGCGCTGCAGACCGGGAATGGCCTAAAGAGAGTTTTGCGGGATAATCTTCCTTGAATGGAAGCCGCTCAATATACCGACCGTTTGGGGCACTGTCGTGGTTTTCTTCAATATGTTTTCACAAGCTTGATCCTCATTTCTTCCTCTTCCCAGAATTTTCTTAATTGATCACCAAGTGTATCAGTTGAGATTTTTTCTACTTGTGTCGAAAATGACACCACTTTTTCGGTTATTGAACCGCTAAGGACTGTGTCGCAAATCGTTTGTACACCTTCCAGGAGAATTTTTTGAAGTATGTCACTGCCTATTACCAAGTCGGTTTCAGCTGGTATATGGCAATTTGGATCAGCAAGTTCAAGGATTTCGATGGCTTGGGCATTGATCTGTTGCTTGGTTCTGGATAATACTACAGTCAAGGAACAAAGTTTGGATAAGTTTTGACGATGTGTACACCCATTCCAGAAATTTCGAGCTTGGAATGTTCAACTGGAAGCCGCAACTTTTTCTTAACTTTCGAGAAAATGAAAGTTCTTTGTGAGCCTTTGTCAACTAAGGCTCATGCAAACCTGCTCGTACAATTATTACTGTGATGACCTCGTGATAAGCAGTTTTTGCAGAGTTTATTCTGCTTCGCAAAACTTATACGATTTGATACCGACATTTTCTTGAAATTGTGGCATTGTGAAATTGGGAGTCGGAAATTACAACACGGACGTGTGTTAGCCCTTTTTTGTTCCGCCACAAATTATTGTGTCCTGTCAAAGGATCTATTTTGAGCGACGTTTTGAGTGGCGACTGGTTTGTGTTTGTTTTGGCTTGTATGAAGCCGATTAAGACGCTCCGCCAGTTAGTATCTAGAAGTGAGGAAGTCATTCATTTGCGGCCATGCTGGCAGATCTTTTCGAGATGCAAGCGATTTTTCCCACAAGGATAATGTTTTCAGGTACAATGTTTTGTTTCAGACAGCTTCGAGGAGCATATGGAGACTAATATTGGATCCCAACTATCTGTTGGGAATGTAAGGCAGACAGACAGTCATTTAATGTTTTTTTTTTGTATTCTTAGTAATTGCTCGCTATTTTCGGTCTGTATGTTGGACATGAGTAGGACTTTTACTAAGAATACGTTTGTTTTCATATTTTGCGCGTAATGTCTTCCATGCTAGCTCGAAATTATCATCGCTCAATGGATATTGTTTGACGATTGAGCCAGCTTTGCCTTCCGTTTTGTACCGGAGATGGTACAATTTTTGTGCACGGGAGAGCTTCGGATGGTTAATGTAGACGGCTGTGAACAAATCACGAACAGCTGGCCATTCTTTATAACCCCTATAGAATGTCCCTGTATCGCAGGCTGGGACTTTAAGGCATATATTTGAAGAGGAAGCTTCTGGAATTCGCTACACACGGGAAGGAGGACTCAGCTGAGTAGCTGCCCGAATTAATTTGAGCTGATCTGCTATCCTCATCTTTGTAAGTTCATACGCGTCATGGCACGTGAAGTATTTATTGTCTGCTGAAATTTTGAAACTTTCGGGCAGACTTCCGCCGGGCTTAAAACAAACCTCTTTTTAGACAGTTTTGAATTTTGCCCAAAACTCATCTAGTGATTTGTTTTAATTTTTAGATATGTTTCCGTGTGATCCTGAATAGAGGAATCACTGAATCGAGAACAGTATCTGATCACATTGTCACTTAATGAAATTAAAAGTTGCGCGGAAGGATCGATCTGTTTAGATCTGCCCGTTTGTGCGGATTCAGACATTTTGGGTTCCTTAGTCCTTTTGGTGGGACTATGACCAATTGGCATTTAAAAAGAAAAATGAATTTAATAGTCGCAAGAAAAAACTGCGAAACTCTAATAGCGCTATATTATAGGAAAATAATGCACTTGGTGCCACAAAAAAAAAAAAAAAAAATTTTTGTTTTTTTTTTTTTTTTTTTTTTTAAAAAAAATTTTTTTTTTTTTTTTTTTTTTTTTTTTTTTCTCGTTATTTAATGTAGTATTAAATTTCAAGAAAAAATTGTACCGAAAAGGTATTAAAAAAAGTCACAAACATTTTAACTTTTATAAACGTGAAAAAAATACGTATTTAATAAAAGTAAATGTAATAAATAATTTATATATAATTTGTAAAAAAATTAAAATTATTCAATTATAAATTATCATAAATATTAGATATGAAACGAAATGATATATTTCGTTTAAAAATAGTGGACTGAACAATTCCCTATTGGGTTATTTAACGATTTCGTATCTCGTTGTCGAAATTTCATTTATATGCCAACAAATATTTTTTGACCTCAGCTGATCGCGCAACGAAGAACTTGCATAAATATGTTGGAAAAACTATATGAACAGATTAAAGAGTACTTAGGTGCACGTATGTGCCCAATGTTTAGGAGATACACACAATATATGCTTCTCTTGTAAGGTCGAAAGCGAATATCGCACAAAGCGGAAATTGGAAAAATTGGGCTTCCAAACCGTCCTTATTTCTCTTTTTATACAGCTGCGGTCATAATCTTAGTAGCGCGGACGAGCACTAAATACAGTTGAAAAAAAATCATTCAGTTGCAAAAACTAGTTTAATTTAAAAAAAATAGTAATTAAAAGACTAATTAAAGCAAATTAAAAAAAAACTGGAGCCACTTGGTTTATAAAAAAAAAAACAAAAATAATACTTTTTATGAAAATCGGAGCCTTTAAGCGGTCAAAATCATAATAGTGTTACACGTTATACGATGTATTTTAAAGCATTTTTTATTTAGGTTGAATTAAATGTTTTTTTTTTTTGATACATTGGCTATCAATTAACTACTTATACGTTAATTTCGTATTTAGTTGTATAACCATTCACCAAATTTTGGCACCTTTCAACTGGAATTGAGTTCCAAGCAGTCTTTACGGACTTTCATAACTGTAGAACAACAGGCAGAGACCGATTTCTTTACATCAGTCCACAAATTTTTTATGGGGTTAATGTCAGGAGACTGAAGGCCATTCCATAACAGTTACTCGGTTGTCTCCAAAACCCTGCTAGTATGCTAGTATGCTTCGGATTGCTGTCGTGTTGAAAGGTCAAATCAGTGACGTTTCCTCGCTGGCATATGGGAGCATAAGCTCCTGCATGATTTGGGCGCATTGGGCAGCATTCATGGTTTTCTTGATCCAATGAATGGGTCCAACTCCATTCCACGAAAAGCATGCTCAAACCATAATGCTGGATCCACCATGTTTTACTGTTTTATGGTGGTATATTTTGGATTAAGTGCGCTGCTGGATGGACGTCTTACAAACTGCTGTGAACCTTTTCCACCATAGCGAACAATTTTTGACTCGTCAGACCGTAAAATGTTACCCCGTTTGCTAAAAGACTAGTCAAATGGTCTGTGGTCTTTTGTCTTTGTTTGACCACATGTTGTTTAGTCAGCAAAGGCTAAATAGGGCTTCGAGCTTACACGTTTCCGCCCGCGTTTTTCGACGCATGGTTTGTACTTTATAGCATTTCGGACCATCGTGGGAGAGCAACCAATGATGTATTGCACTTTGGCTTTTGTTTTGCCAATCAGATTTTTAATAAGAGTCCATAAGAATTTAATTTTTCTGAACTATTCTTGATTGCGCTACTAAGAATTTGACTGATCAAAAAACACTTTTCCTCAAAACTTAGCCGATTGCAATAACAACAATAATTCTAGCTTCACAAACCAATGCACATCGTCATATCGGCGCCTTAACCTAACGGTCTGAAATACAAATTTATGATGACTTGTTTGTAATTAGCAAAATCACTACTAAGATGTTGACCGTAACTGTAAATGTGTGATGTTGCGGTGTTTGTTTGTTGTGATGGATGATTCCTCGCTGTGTATGTGGTGATTGTGGCTAGTTCCTGTGGCGTAGTTACTCCTTGTTGGTGTCCTTTGGAGTTGATAACATATTGTTCACTTTTTCCACTTTTCCGAATTTTTAGGTATATACATATGTATACATAATCATTTTTTTTAATTTTTATATTTTTTATGTATATAATTTGTTGGAGTTTTGTGTATATGCATGTGCACTATTAACGATTATTTATGTGTAATATGTAAGTATATATGTGTATATGTATATATTTTCAAATTTTTTTTTGTTTTTCGTATTTATTTACAGTTTTAAATAGATATATACATCTTTTTTTTCTCAAAAGTTTACAATTTTTTTGTTTAATTGAATTTTTTTTTTTTTTTGATTTTTTTCACTGTTTAATTTTTTTTTTTTTTTTTTTTTTTTTTTATTTAAAAAAAAAATTTCTTGCACCACCAGCTTTTGTTATTTTATTTTTTTTTTTTTTTTTCAAATATGTGCATATGTTTTTTTTCTATTTTGAACCACTTTTTTGTATTATTTTTTTTTTTAAAATTTTTTTGTTATTTTATCCTTAAGTTTTTCGATCGTACGTACGGGGGTTCGTAGGTATTTTTTTTTTTGTTTAAATTAGTGGCTTAGAAACGTAGAGTGACCCAGTTTTAGCCTCGAAGGACCAATGTTCAAGTCGTTAAGGACTTGACGGGAAGTAAGGGGATGCTGGCTGTCGAACGGGCCTAAAAGATTTCAATAAAAGGGCACAAATTTCATTAAAAATTTATTTGTAGCGCTTTACAGAAAATGTATAATTTAAAAAAATTTAAATTTAAATGTATGCTCTCAGGGAGCATGAGTGCAAGACGAATAGATGAACGAGTTTGACAAACGTTCTTTGGCACTCAAAGGAGGAAGACTTCGGGCCCCGACGAAGTCAATCAGCCTCCACCCATTTTGGTTGTTGTTGAATTTTCCGACAGCCTCTGACTTTGTGCCGTCCATCGTACTTCTTGGGCGGCGGAGATGTCAGCCATTATTCCTACGAGGACATCAACAAAGTGGCAGCAGCATCTTCCCAATTAAAATACAGGGCATTCCAGGTGCATGCACTCAATTCATGATGCTAAATTCGTTTACAGGTGTAGTATCAAAAGGGGGCATCTAATCCGTTGTATTGATTTTAACTGGTTCCTACGTGGCACAAAACCTCGCTAGACGAGTAAGTTCCATTTTGTGGTAAGTGTCAGAGGCTTGTCTACACCCCATAACACCCCGCCATCCAATACCAAATCATCTAAATTCCCTCTCCCTCTGGTTCTGGTTCTCCGAACATGGCGTATTAGCCCGATTTCTGGTTCTTGCGTTAGATGCTTGTAGCGGCTACATCAACAGAATAAATTGAATATAAATATTTCATGCTGATTAATTACCTATATACATACATATACTAATTCTATTAACATAAATGTAGTAATTGAAATTGTTGTTTGATTATTAGGTCTAATTTCGAAAACTTTATATTACAGTGGTAATGGATGTACAGCAATTACCAAATGATAACACACAGAGTGCAACGGATTGGACCGGATCAATTTCACATTATGGCGCATCATTAAAGTCAATGTCACGCCCTTCAATTTGTGAACTTCGAAAGAGTCTAAGTTTTCTAGAGGATCAGCAGTTTGAGAAACTTGCTGAATTCAATATTGAAACAACTCAACAGTTGTTGAATATACCGATAAGAAAATTTCTTGAAATTGAAATTAATGGTGAGCAACTGCAATTGCTTATGTCATTGTTGGAAAATGCGTTTTGCAAGGACTCGGATCAGCCCAAGTCATTTCAAGAAGAAGTCAAATCTTTTGAGGAAATTGCAGGAGACATCGAAAAATTTGAAGCAAATGACGATGATGATGAAAAACCATTGGTTATTGATGAAACCTTTTCCATCATTGAAGAGGTTAGAAACAGGAATTTTATGTTTAAACAAATTCATATATATTACTTGTTACAGAATCAAGACCCTACTACTGATAAAGAAGAACGGAGTTTGAATGATATTGAAGAATGTTTTGCAAAAATTCGCAACGTTAAAATCCCTCAGTCACGTGCTACTATAGATGAAGTAAAATCGGAGCTGTCTGAAATTATTGCTGAATTGGACGGGAAAGAAAAGAGGCTATTGCGTCGGCTAAAAGATAAGAAACAAACTGATGAACCATTAGTGTCAGCTATGAAATCTGGTACTGAAGAGGTCGTCACAACTACCAGTAAGGCTCCCTTAAGTACTGATGATACACAAACTTCTTTAGCTGTGACTAGTGAAACTGACAAGTCTATTAAAGAGAAAAGAGGGCAGAAGACAGTCAAACGTCGACGAAATATTAAAAGTAAAACGAACGTAAACAAGTCAGTTAAAACATTTAAAAACACAGACACATCTTCGATTGGTGGTATAATAGCTGTAGATGCTGAAGCTTCCTCCGCAACATCTGGAAAGTCACCAGATATCGTTGAATCATTAAAGACATTTGATAAAACTTCTCAAGTAACAAAATATGTCAAAGCATCCTCCCCTGATAACGCAAATTTTCTAAAACTACTCAATCCACCATTTTTTTCAGGAAGCCGAGGCATAATTTTTATGAACCCAACCTCTAGGGTTATTTTGCAAAATGAGGTGCAATGTAGTAATGTTTTAAAACCATTTAAGAAACGCCCACAGAAGCCCGCATTAAATCTTAATGATAATGATAGTTTACTAATAGATGTGTCCGAACCCAATTTTGTGAATTGTTTGTCCGAAAGACCTTTTGAAGTATCTAATAATACTGCTGTTGATGATATAACTTTGATCCGACCAGACTCGGACGATACAGATACATTGTCAAAGGAAGGCACTAAATGTAGATTAGTTCAAGCTACTAAGTTGTTAACTCCATTTTCAGCGGCTTCAGCACAGCAGAATCTGCAACCTACGGTTTTGATTAAAAAATTGCCCACACCATTAAGGAAGAAACAACATGATATGGATGCAGATAGTACAACTACTGGCGTTGATTTTGCGTTTCTTAAAATAAGGAAACATGAAAATGTCGCCGATGTTGGTGAAGCAAAAAAACTAAGGGTAAATGCGCTCCAGAAAAAAACGAGAAAACGTCAAGCAAAGGTTCCGAATTTTGTTGACAATCGGGATAACAAGGTCCCCGAATCATCCAGTATATAATTTATAATAATTTGCTGAGTTGGTCATTAATTGTTGTACTATATTTTAGATATTTCAAATGAATTTTTAGAGGTTTGCTCTTCTGATGCATTAGATAAAGTAAGCCAACAATCAAAAGCCGAGGAGGTGCACGAAAGTCAAGAATTAAAACCAGTATTAAAGTCAGTCTCACCACAGTCACCACTTTTCGAATCCACTCCGGTTAAATCGGAGGAGTTTGATGAGAGTGGTATTATAATGGATACTACAATTACTACTCAGAAGGAAGATAATTCTGAGAGAGACAATTTTTCGGAGGGTGATCTGTTGGCTACTGCTCCTTTTTCAAAAACTAATGAAAACCAAATTCAGTGCAGTACCGCAAAGGGTATGAATACTTATATTGAATCTTATGTTTTTAGGCAATTACAAAATTGAAATTTTTTTTTTTTTGGAAAATCTTAAAATTCAACAAACCTTTCTGTGACAGCACAACGACGCATTGAATTCGACGAGAAACCAAACGATAAAGTCAGTAACTTATACGATCATTACGATGCAGATTTAATCGTAACAATTGACAATACTCCTTTGTCGCCAATATCGGGCGGCATTACCAGTCCAATAAATTCGAATAACGATTATAGTCCAGCTATGGAGATTGACGGTCATTGCATTGGAATGATATATTTGGTGAGAATCCGTACTCCTTTCCGGTAAAGTTAATCATTTCCCTGTTTGCAGCTGAAAGAAATTGATATGTCTGGTATTTCCGTCAACAAGCCTGATAATTTAAGTATGCTTTTACGGACAAATGGCTTTGATCCAAGATTGTCAAAGTATCTTAAAAAGGTTTGTACTAATTTTGATTTTTATAATGTAGGGATTTTTGACGTTTATTAGAATTCGAAGAAAAGTAAAGCTAAGGGTAGTGTTTTGCCGGGATTGTAACATAGTTTAAGACCGGCCGGCGAATTGCCTTATAGGTTGCCAGCAATGTTTATTTTTTTACCCCAGGTGCTGCCGGCTACCGCAGTGAATTTTTTTGAAGAGTCGTCAAGATAGCAGATTACTTTCGAATATAAGTCAAACCCCCTGGCGATTCTACCGATGATTGACGACTACTCAGGTAGCCCATGATTAACCTCTTCAACCCCGGTGGTATTAAGGATTCCTCAATGACCTATAATAGCACTGAATGGTTGACTGTGTCAAAAGGTTTTGACAGGTTCTGTGCTGTCAGACTACCGACTATCTGAGTGTTTAAGGCGCTGTACTCAAATGGTGTGCGATCGTCAGGAGCTGCAAGGCCACGTATGAAATCAGCAGAAGCTTATATACATACTAATAATGAATGATGTACATATGTATGTGTGTATACTTTTGTATATGTAAAGCAAGTACAAGAAAGCAAGCTGCGAGTCGCCGTATAGCTCTTACAGCTCATCTTTTTATCGGTTACGGTATTCGCCGTTTCCAACTCGTAGACTCTCTTATGAGGATTCATCAGATGCCGAGATCTTCAATGCCACCAAATCGTATATCGACAGACGGGAACGGCAACCCGTAGAATTTTGTCTTTGTCCTTAGAGAGTGAACTTTACATTTCAATGACATACCCAGTCCAAAGTAGTACCTGTTGGTAAGAGTGATTCTGTGTTGGATTTCAAGGCTGACATTGTTGTTGGTGTAAATACCGATCTTAAGATAGACGACTTCAAAGTTCGCTTGTTTATCCAGTCTGGAGAAAGCAGAACTTACGGCGCTGTTGTTAAAGCCAACAATGTCAATATTATCGGCTCACGCCAGCAGAAGAAGGTCGTGCCTTCTCTATTCAGCTCTGGCGGTTGGTGAATATCTGGTCAATGGTCGACTTACCAGGTATAAAACCACATTGATAAGGTCCAATCTGTTTGTTGATAGTGGCTTTTAGTCTTTCGTACCATGCGCTCGATAGGACCCAATATGCGATATTAAGGAGGCTTTTCCCACGGTAATTGGCGCAAACTGTGGGATCGCCCATTTTATCGATTGAGCAGAGCACAGGGAATTATTTATTTTTTTCCAAATGCTTTAAAAATTTGCAAATACTAGTTGAATATATCTTTGTTAAAGTAAAAACTTTTAGGAAATTTCTATTTGTTAAAATATTTCCACGTAACAGAGGACAAACCCTAGACATACAACAGCCCCGAGTCTTTCTAAGTCTATGTTAAGGCGCTAAGAACGTATCAAATTCAAATTAATTAATAAATTAGAGTAATTAGAGTAACCTACTCAATTTAGGTTACCTTTCAAATGGAGGCAAGATTCTTTCCTAAGTCACTTTACATTTTTTTGATCCACTGAGATCTTAATCGACCATGATAAAAAAGATACTTAGTAGTTTTTTACGGAAACTCTATTAGTACTCAAGACAGGTTATTTATAATGTTGCATTTACTGTATATATCTCTATATTAATTCAAATGTATATTAATTATTTTTAAAGGAAGTAAATGCAGTGCATACATCCACCTCGATTTGTGCTTTCAGTAAAATTGCACAAAGTGGGGATCCTCGTCGAACGGGTAGTATTTATAACACGGAAAAATTTTCACACCAAACACCGAATATGCTTATTTACGGTTGCTTGCAGCGTTCTCCATGGTATCAATCACTAATGTCCACAATGAAGATACAGATAAATCAAACAATTTCGATATTGGTGCGGGCTATCAATAATTTTCAAAAAATACGCTTGGAAGATCCCTATGCTGTGTTTGATATTTTTAAACTGTATTGCGCTGGAGAATTATTGGAAATTTTGGAAAATCTAGGATTGTTCGTCGACGTTAACGGACAGATAACTGAAAAGAAAAATATATCTACGTATGCAGGTCGTTCATATGGTTGTTCGTCGGTAGTAAATGCAACATATAGCTTTATTCAACCAGTAGAGCCATCGTCGGTTACAGTACAACATCAGCAAATGAGATCTTTTTCTTCGCATGCGCCAAATTTTTCTGCAATGCCATTCCAGCCGTCGGCATCCTTTCAACCACCGACACCATTTATAAGCTGCTACATTGAATCCCCACATACGCCAATGGAAAACTCTGTACAAATGCAACAATCTCGTATGCGCCGACCAAAACCTTCACAATCTCGAGGACCATTTGAACCGCCACTTCCACGACGACACTGTGGATTGAAGGTGCCATATAGGAATAGTGCGCCACCACCATTACCATCGCGTTCTTCGCTTTCGCCTGTAAAGTCTATCAAACCGCCTACACAATCCTCCAATTCTGATGAGGAGTGTTGGGATTTGGATGAAGAAATTAATTCTTCAACGCCTTCAAAGCTTCCTCTCAGTCCAAGTTCTGATGATGACTCAAAGCAATCGCGGCGCAATTGTACTAGATAAACTCACTGATCCTCACTATAAAAATTTATACGGAGCACACGAAAAACGTTGATAGTTCTTAGAAAAAAATATAAATTTTAAATTAGAGGTGCCATATCCATCCACATCATACCATACAATCTTATTTTTTAGATAAATTTAACGCTAAATATCGCTATGATTATAGTTACAGGAGTGGTTTTATGGTATGACACCTCTAATTTAAGCTAAACAATTTATATATCGAGTTCAATATTGGATTTGCCTGCTTATTTGTGTTACTTTTTTATGTTACATTTTAATTTTATGTCCTTTTTTACCTAAGGGAGCTAGGTATAATAGAGAATGAATTTTCCTTATGGTTTGTATTGCGTACAGTTTAATTTTTAATGCGTTGAAATAAATCGCTAATATTATCATTATTAAATGTTAACTTCTTCTGGGATATGTTGGCGTTCGACAAATTTCAGCAGGTGGTTAGAGCTGTGCTCCTTCCAGTCTGTATGTGCTGGAGTAAATTTGCTACAATCTTTAAAACTCAGTTGTGTCGGGATTCCATACCCTGTGAAAACGAGCTGACGGGTTCACCAATACACTCAAACGATTTAAAAAATTCAAGGAGGATGCAGTTGAACATTTTATTTTATGTTCTTATTTTCGAGTAGAAATTTTTTTTATCGTTTAAACTGGAAAATATGGGTAAGGATTCTGTACAAGCTGTGGTAAAATCGGCCATAAGCTGAACATCTTTTACGTCAACGTGCATCTTTCACCCTGTGCACGGGAAATTCAAGCTGGGAAGTTTGCTTAAATCAATAACCGGGTTTTAAACAAAAATGTGGAATTATATTCAAGCTCCTATACTTTCCAAAACTGCAAAAATACCAACATGGCTTTTACCATCATCTATTTTTATAAATCAACTTTGAGGCTACCCGAAACAAAACACAAATCCTTTGATCTACCGAAAAACTTTTCTAGAAAGTCAAACATCGTGGAAAATCAAAGGGTAGAAAGGGTGGAATGTATTGACATTAATTTAGCCATAAGGCACGCCACGCAAGGCAGTGGCAAATACATAAAGCACTCCAAAATCCTCTGACCAGGGAACTGCTCATTAGAGAGTCCAGAGATATGTTATCGCATCATCACTCCAAAATAAAAATCATGTGGCTACCTGGCCACTGCAGTATTACGGGCAATGAACTCGTGGACTCTACAGCCAGAAAAACTTACCAACTGCCAAGTATCTACCACAATACCTATATGAAAGCAGATCTTTTTCGGACAACAGAAAATTATATTAAAGAGCTTACGGTAAGAAACTGGTAAACGTATCAACACTCTTAAAAAACCTATAATCGAAACCGTTGTAAACCTATCCTCCCAACCTCAGCATCAGCCGACCAGCTGCGAATTTGCGATACCAAGAGCTAAAGAGACAGCAATACGCATCTGCAGACAAAAAAGAAAGATGCCGAGATGCATGAGTATGAAGAGCTTGAGAAGCTGGCCGACAAGGGTAATGCCCGAAATTTCTACGAAAAAAAACGACGACTTACGGAAGGTTTCAATACCCGAGCAGATTCCTGTAAAGAGATGCTCTGGCCACCGATGCCCAGAGCATATTGAATTTATATGGTATTGGCCAATCGTCGAATCACCGTTAGAGAAGATGCTGAGGACCTAAACATATCGATTGGCTCGTGCAGACCCAACAAGAGGGGGCGATCGGAGACTTTTCCCCCCGGGCCCGTAGATTGCAAGGGGGCCCGGTGTTTTCATTGTCGTATATAGAATAATTTGCTCTTAGGATATCTATGACGTAACTGACTACAGATTTTCATGGATTGCGATACTAATTCTACGCGTCTGAAAAAAATCAATAATTTTGAAGAAGTAAGAAAACTAAATCTGACTGCTGAGACTAGACGGGATGTTGATGGAATTTTAAAATATATTAGCAAATTTGAATGTGTCCTAATGTCATCGATATGGTTCAAGATTCTTACAGCAATCAATGACGTTAGTTTGGTTCTGCAAAAGAAAAAAGCCACAATAGATGTTGAAGTCTAAAATTTCGAAAGCCTCTTAGATAATCTGCAGATCTTACGCAACCAGTGGAATGATATCTTAAAAGAATGTCGAACAGTTTCCGAACATTTGACGACCGCCACGTCAACATTCTCAGAGAGTCGTAAAAAGAAACGAGTGGAAGTTGCACCCGAAAATTCAGATGAAGATTATACTGATGAAGAAATTGATTTCAAACGTAACACTTTCTTCGTTATCATGAATTCGATCATCGCGGGAATAAGAAGCAGATTTGCCTCAATAAGAGCAATCAACAACATGTTTTCATTCCTGTGGTTGTTTCCGAAAATGGAAGTAGAAGAGGTTCAGACTGCTGCGCTACGTTTTGCTGAAAAATACCCTGCTGATGTGTCAATCGAAATATCGTGCGAAATCAATTACTTAAAAAACGTTTATCAGGCTAATTTTGCTGAGAGTAGTACAACTCATTTGTCTCCATTCGATTTATCACCACCAAAAATTTAGATAAACTGTTTCCAAACATCTGCATTGCTCTGCGGATATTTTGCACGTTGCCAGTTTCAGTTGCTAGCGCCGAGCGATCATTTAGCGTACTTTCAAGAATAAAGAACTATCATCGTTCTTATTCAAGCCAATCTCGAGTCTCAGGACTGGCAACGTTATGTTTGGAATCTCAATTAGCTAGAAAACTTGACTTCGGTATTATCATTGAGGAATTTGCATCAGCTAAAGCAAGGAAGGCATGTTTTTGAGGGTTGCTACCTATTAAAATACTATTGTGATGCAAACTAAGGTAATAAAATTGTTTAAACAAAAATTGTTCCAGATTACTCATTCATTTTCATTTTTATTCAAGTTCTATTCTATCTTAATCCCCAATTCGTTGATTTTCAGTGTAAGTACAAATAAATATATTTGTTAGATCAGGAAATTGAGGTGTTGGGGGCCAGCATTTGAATTATCCCCGGGCCCCGACTTTCTCTCAGCGGCCTTGGGCTCGTGCCATTCGATTTTTATCAATAATTTGGGCATGAGACAGGTCGCCGCGGAGTTCGTACCAAAATTGCTCAATTGCGACCAAAAACAGCATCGCAGGAACATTGTTAAAGAGATGTTGGACTCTGTCCGCGACGACCCAAATTTGCGCCAGGGGGTCATAACTGGTGACGGAACGTCGGTTTATGGTTATGACGTGGAAACCAAAGCTCAATCATCTCAATGGAAGCTGCCGCACGAACCAAGACCGACCGCGCCAAGTTCCGCCGAATGTGAAAGTTTTGCTGACAGTTTTCTTCGATTGCAGGGGCATGGTGCATCATGAGTTCTTGCCACAGGGTAGAACGGTCAATAAGGAATATTACCATCAAGTTATGTGCAATTTGCGCGAAGCAATCAGCCAGAAACGCCCGGATTTGTGGAAGAACAAAAATTGGCTTTTGCACCACGATAAGGCCCCTGCTCACACATCGTTGCTTGTGCGCGACTTTTTGGCCAAAAACAACACACTAATGATGCCGCAGCTACCGAATTCCCCAGATCTGACCCCCTGTGACTTTTTCTTGTTCCCTAAACGGAAGAGGCCCATGAAAGGACGACGTTACGCTACGATTGACGAGATAAAGACGGATAAAAAAAATGATTTTTTGAAGTGCATCGAAGATTGGAAAAACCGTTGACATTGGGATTACTTTAAAAAAACACAAAACTCGCGATATTTTTTGAACACACCTCGTACTTCTTTGAGCTGTTTTTGAAGCTCAACCGCAGATTTGTGGAGGTTTTCAGAAATTTATTTTAAAAGGTACTGTTCATCTCGACGTAATAGCTGCCGCTTATTGGACTGATCTTTTTTTATTAGTAATTCTACCTTCGATTTTGTATTATTCAAAATATCAGCAATTTGACGAATTGAAAGGCCCTTGGCGTGGTTACTGATCACGATTTGCCTTTCTTCGATTTTACTCTGTTTTTTTTTTTAAACCATGATGCTCGTTTTATACCTTTTTTTTTTTTTCTGACAAAAACTTCCAAATTTGTTTACACATTCTACTAATTTTGCCGTTAGGCTTAGCACTCCGGTTTTGAGTGTGAGTCACTACATATAGAATTATTACTTTAAGTTGCACCTGAAATAAGCTAAAATTGGGTAGAAGCTTAGGAAAGAGAAGGTGAAAAGATGATATAGACATCATCCTTATAATAAATAAGTATCGATACTTCATTCCTTTTGAATAAATGCCCTCATAAAAGGAGTAAAAAAAATACTAAAGAAAACGGAGAGACAATGCCGAACATGAATATATACAATACAAATATATACAATTGCATTTTGCTCACGTATTGAAAATATGTACGTACGTGTATATAGTGTTCTTTTTCTTTTTTATTGGTGTGAGCACCACTTACACGATTATAGGCGAATCAATATTAGCGCGCCATTCATTCTCTCTTTTCGCTGATTGTGCCAGTTGGAAATACCAAGTGAAGCCAGGTCGCTCTCCGCCTGATCCTTCCAACGGAGTGGAGATCTTCCTTTTATTCTGCTTCCACCAGCGCGTACTGCATTGAATACTTTCAAAGCTGGAGTGCTTTCATCCATTCGGATGATGTGACCTAGCCAGCGTATTCATTCGTTGAACTATGTCAATATCATCATATGGCTCGTACAGCTCATCGTTCCATCGTTTGTGGTCTTCGCCGTTGCCAACGTGCAGAGGACCATAACTCGTTCGCAAAACTTTGCTCTCGAAGACTCCCAGCGCCGACTCATCTGATGTTGACATCGTCCACGCTCCTGCACCATATAATAAGACGGCTGTGATGACCGACTTGTAGGGTTTCGTTTTCGTTCGTCGAGAGAGGACTTTACTTTTGAATTGCCTACTCAGTCCAAAGTAGCACATGTTGGCGAGAGCTGGATTTAAAGGTTGACTTTTTATTGATGTTGATGCTGGCTCCTAGATAGGCGAAATTATCAACGACTTCATAGTTATGACTGTCAACATTGACATGGGTGCCGAGTCGCAAATGCGATGACTGACCAGACCTATATCCTTCGCTTCCTTATCCAGTCTGAAGAAAGCAGAACTCCAGGCGCGGTTGTCGAGGCCAATAATGTCAATGTCATCGGCGTATGTCAGCAGCTGTATACTCTTATAGAATATTGTGTCTTCTCTATTCAGCTCTGCAGCTCGTATTATTTTCTCCAGCAATAAATTAAAAAAGTCAAACGATAAAGAGTCACCTTGTCTGAAATCTCTTGGTATCGAACGGCTCGAAGGGGTCCTTCCCTTACGACGTTATATGTGATGTTAAGGAGGATTATTCCACGGTAGTTGGAAACTTTGTGCACGCAACAGCAATGCCAATCAAATGATGAGTTAACGTTTGCAGCATAAGAGAAAACAATATTTTATTTAACTTTGAGGCTGATCTTTGACTACAGCAGTGCAGAGTCTCTAGTTCCAAAAAGCGTCAAATTTTGCACCAGGCATCTGATCGATCTGAAAATTTTCTATGATTTTCTAAGATTTTCCATGAATCTGACGACCTTCACGCAAAAGCAAAAAAACAATATATTCAGTATAAACATTCGCATTCAGTTAAGATTCGGAAATTTATCGAAAAATAGTTACTAAAAAGTTGTCTACAGGCCTCTTCTGTCGAGGTAACAAAATTTACTTTGGTACTAAAATTTACCATTCAGTAAATTTTGTTACCATTTCGTATTCTGAGCTCACTGTCACCCTGTAAATTTTGTTACCAGCGAAATAGGAGGTAAAACAAGTATCTGCTGTTTGATTTTGTGTTGTAAATTTGAGAAAAAATAAAAAACCAAAATGGGTAGGCATATTTTAGGCCTGGAATTCATTGAAGATGGAGAAAAAAGTGCAAAAAGATGTATTTTAAGAAGTTTTCGGGACCATAAAAACATTGTAACCAGTGCGCCAGAATACCAAATTCAATTTCGGGGTTTAAAGAACAGTAACAAAATTTACTTTACCGGTAACAGTGGGAATAGGCCTGTTAATCGGTCGTCCGAAACGGCTTAAGTAGAAAACGGGAAAATGATCAAATTGAAGAGATTAGGCCAAATCCCACCTCTGCAGCTTTTGTTCGTAATATTTACATACATATGTATATACATATACATACTCGCACTAATCTTTGTATATACACATGTGTTAAAAATAAAATGCCCAATATGAAATATGTTTGTACTGTAATATGTGTGTACATATTTATATACGCATGTTTTGTAACCTCTCAAGCAGTTGTGCATATGGTATTCATTAGAGTATGTACTATACAGTCAGAGTCATAAGTCTACAAGCAGGAGGTTTGAAAATGCTTGTTTCAAATTTGTTTTTAAATTAAGTAATTTATTGAATTCAAATTTTACTATTCTTATACAATATTAAATGTAGAATGGTGGCGCCAAAATTCTTTGCACGTGTACATATGGTATTCATAAGAGTATGTACTATATATGCAAATAAATATAAGTATATAATAATAGCTACATACGAAACTTTTCTTTCTTTCTTCTTCTTTATTTTTTATTATAATATTACAAAGAATGTATATGTGGCATACCAAAAAAAATCCCAGAAATGCCGAAAAAACCAAAAAATTTTAAAATATAGAAAAACGAATAATATTTCATTCCTTTCAACCATAAATAATACTAATTTTTGGTAAAATGGGGAAATACCCGCAATGAAATTTCTTTGTGAGGAAAATAGCGATTTTATAAATAGTTGAACAATGAAATAGATGTAATTTGGTAAAAATTAAGAATTAAAGAATTTAGACAGTTGCTTGACTCAAATATGCTTAATTAAAATATTGCCATTAAATTTAGATGAGTCCGTGGGGTGAAGAGAAGACTTTTTCGACAGCACCGAAACTAAGGTAAAACCTTCAAATTCATTTCCAGATCGATAGAACGATCGAAACCCGTTCAAATCTTCTAGAAACAACGTTTACTACCCGAAAATTGCCTGAAAGAAGAGCTCACATAGCTCCTATGCTTAAAACAGTAAAATTTTAGGGAGAGTAAATACAGTTTTGCAGTGTTTTATAAGACAAGGCGTGGATCAAAGATAAGAAACATAAGCGATGGAGGGTTATTCAACCGAAATAAAGGAATTCAATTTACGAAAAAAAAAAAAATTGTGGCTCACGGAGATTGCAGGTTAATGGTATGGGTTGGTTTATCGTGACATGATGTAGGTCCGATACAACTGATCGATGGGATTATGGATAGATTCGTCTTTAAGGATTTGCTGGAAACTGTAATACTACTATGTGTCGAGGATCAAATGCCGTCATTGTTTAAATATTGCGGACGCTTTTGGAAGTTAAGTCAATTTCCAGGTACTAATATTACCAAGTACCTCTAGGCACAACTTAAAAAGCAAATTTCGATGGCCCTTTGTCGAAATAAAACCAGCTGTGGGAAAATATTTAGAAAGTTTAACACTCGTGTTGAAACTAATCGTTCAGAAGTTGATACCGTCAAAGCCCGAAAGATGCGAGAAATGCGAGAAAGTTATCAAAAATAATGACAGATATTCAAAGTTTTAACCGATTTCTAACTAATTTTGCAAAATGCGGGCCAAAACCTACATAATTGCAATATTAATCACTATTTTTGTTGTACTCACCGATTATTCTGGCCAACTCAAATACGTGAACTTTGCGGATCAGTCCAGAATAATGTTGTTTTCGAAAGTTTATAAGTAAATTTTATTAAAATGTTTAAGTTAAAGAACAACATTTTCTTTGAGGCAAATTGGAAAATTTTATAAGTGCAAGACAAGCATTTGTGTAAATAACTATTGTCACAGCTATTATTTTGCCCAGCACAAACATACATACACACATATACAAAAATACATATTTATGCACGTGTGCATATTTAACTTATGCTTATGGTGCAAACGTAGTAAATGAATATTTTTATGATACCAAAGATTTTTTGTTATAAATCTGATCATACATACATACATACCTGTACAGTTACCTGCTATGCATGTATGTGCTGAAAAATTTTGTTTTCGATGAAAGCACGAAACTGCAATTGAAAACACACAATTTCACTTGTAGATTGTTTAATATTTAATAAAATATTTTACAGTTATTTAAATACATACATACATACATACATACATGTATATATATTCGAGTGTATGCATAGCTATGTATTTATATGAATATTTTTTTTCCTTATATTTGACTTTCTTAATTGATGCGTGCAATTCTGGGCCATTCGTTTGCTATTCTTTGGTCGACACTTTCAAACCTTCACAATTTGTTGTTTTTACAGTGATTTATGCTAAATCAGCTGCCTGCGCTGTGGAGCGAAATTTGGGTGAAAAACGTTGGCCAAACAACTTCCCATTTTTTCTGCTTCTGTTGCGTTGAAATGGCTACAATTGTAATGGAAAAATAAAACCACCGACGTCTGCATTTTATTTGGTGGCAAAAAATCTATTTGTGCAAGTGGGCCAAGTGATTACAGTTAGTCAGAAGTTGAACGTATCGTCAGACGGCTACCTCATACAGCGGCAAGTGTACACTGCACATACGGATTATTGAATAAGCAATAAAAGGACATTCAATATCCTTAAATATCAAATAACTGAAACTCCTCTAAAAAGTTGATATCGAGTGTGTTTGTGTGTGAAAATTTGAAAAGCAGTCGAGAATTTGTAAATGTGTAGTTGCGATGATTTGGGTATGATAAAAAGGCGAAAAGCGCCAATAATTTATTACATACTCGTAGATGACAATTTTTCGTTTTAGTTTAAGAACGTTGCTTTGTTGGCATTTTTACTGGCTATTTCCATCGCATCGATTGCATCTGTCCAAGGTTCAGCTTCAGGCACTGCAGCGGAGCCTCAAGATGAGGACACAATTGATTTGACACCATCTGCAGATCCCACATCGGAAAAAAATCAGGACAATCGCGGTGATGGTCAGGTCTGAAAAAAAATTTCGTCAGCTCTTTTGAATTATATACTATATATTTGCTCATTGTGCAGATTGTGGGCCAATCCTTACTTACACCTCTCCTAGGACAGGGACTTTTGCCAGCACCACTAAACATGTTTAGTTCAATGTTTCCAGCGCTTAACTCTCTCTTACTCCTTGGCAATCTATTTCCGGGTGCTTCACTTATGGGCCCACCATCCTTACTGGGGTCAACTCAACAAATGGGCCCTTCAGCAACTGATGAATCGCCGGCTGCTTCAAAGGTTGTGCTGGTATTAGCTGAAGACCGCAATCCACATGTAGCAATGAGAGTCGCTAATCAGGAAGCTGCGCGAACGATTCGTCAAAATGATATGCTTAGTCAGATGTTGAACCAGTTTGGTCAAGTGGATTTCGGGCAAATGCTTTCACAGTCTTTAGAACAAATGCAACTACAAAATCCTGGGCAACTATTACAACAAAATCCTGGACAACTTTTGCAGCAAATTGTGCCACAGGATCTTTCACAGCCGTGGAGTCAACTTTTGTCGCAAACATTCCAGCAGATTCCCGGCTTAGACCTATCGCAATTTCCACTCATAGGACAAGCACCAACGTCCAGTGAACCTACAGTAGGTGCAGCAATGGAGTCAGCAGGAGGCGAAGGCGCTGCTCCCGCAGCCGATGCGCCAGCGTCTGCACCACAGCAAGCCTTCCAATTTCCAAATTTCCAGACAGCTATCGATGCTGGCACTCAAATGTTGGGACAAGCTCTTCAACAGCCCAATAGTGATCCAACTGGTGCCTTCCAGCTGCCAAATATTCAATCTGCTTTGGATGCAGGCACCCAAATGCTGGGACAAGCTTTTCAGCAAGCTAACTCCGATTCATCCACTAGTGGATTTCAACTGCCTAACATTCAATCTGTCATAGATTCTGGCAATCAAATGTTAAGCCAGAGTGGCGGTTTGTTCAATTTCCGCCCATTACAATCGTTGGACCCAGCTACATCCGCATCTGATGCAGAGCCTGCAGCTTCCCAGATTTCAGAAGTTCGTGTAAAACCCGAGGATTTGCCTTTAAGAACTACTTTTAACCAGCAACAAGCGCAAAAGGATGAGAAAATGGATGATCTTAAAATGATGTCCGCTTTGCAAAAAAAAATTCTTCATAAAAAATTACCTATTTTATGGTTTCACATCCCGACTGATTCATCAGAACGGAATCATGACTTTGGATCGAAAACCTACAGCCAAACCAATACAAAAAGTTTAGAGGAAATGCAACTAGAAACAAAATTGCAAGCTTTTCAACGTCAAGTTGTAACTGAATTAAAGCTTCTACAAGACATTGAGCGCAAGGCTAAAGAATTGCGTTCAGCTGCAAAGGGTTCCATGGCAAAAACTTTCAAGGATAACAATAGTTCGAATGAAAGTGCGCTGAGTAAAATTCCTATACATAAGATAACTCGCGGTGATATCGAAAAAGCTTTGAATGATGATTATGTGAAGAAGCTTTTACATAAGACAGCTATAACGACTCGAAAGGAAACCAGCAATTCGCCGTTTGAACAATTGCTTGTGCCCAGTAGTATGAATATCAAACGCCAAACTATGCAAAGCACGATGAAACCCAGACAAATGACCAGAGAAGATATTATACGTCTTATGGCCTATGCATATCGAATGGCAAATGCCAATGGAATACGAATGCTTGACTCATCTGAGAATATGAAGACGACTCAGGATTCTAATGAAAATGCACGTCAGTCTTCGGACAATAGTTTCACTCAAACATACCGTCAATGGGCAAATGATGCGAGAACTCCAAGCCAAATGGCTGACATGCGTCCCACAGCTAAGCAATGGATGGACGAAGAAATGCAAATGTCTCATAAGAAAAAAATTGATCAAATTCCTACAAGGATCCCAATGGAAAGACAAATGGAAGAAAAAATCGAACGTCAATGGGCAGAAGAGCAAACACAACCTCAAAGATTTAGTATGAAACAAAATTTTGATACGCAAGCGCCACATAATGCCCAACAACGTCAATGGGTTAATCAAAAATCAGACATCACAGCCTTGATGCAACAACACCCACTTCAACAAATGCCGATAATGATGCAACAACCCCAGATGGTGGGACAGCAAACACCGATGGCAATGCAGCAGTGGCACATGGTTGAGCAGACCCAAAAAGACCAACCACAACAAATGCAGACGATGATGCAACAGCCACTGATGGTGGGACAGCAAACACCGATGGCAATGCAGCAGCGGCAGATGGTTGAGCAGACGCAAAAGGACCAACCACAACAAATGCAGACGATGATGCAACAGCCCCTTATGGTGGGACAGCAAACACCGATGACAATGCAGCAGCTGCAGATGGAGCACGAGATGCAGCAACACCAACCCCAACAAATACAGACGATGATGCACCAACCCCAGATGGTCGGCCTGCAAACACCGATGACAATGCAACAGGGACAGATGGTTGAGCAGACTCAAAAGGACCAACCACAACAAATGCAGACGATGATGCAACAGCCCCTTATGGTGGGACAGCAAACACCGATGACAATGCAGCATCGGCAGATGGTGGACCAGTTTCAGAAACACCAACCCCAACAAATACAGACGATGATGCAACAACCCCAGATGGTGGGACAGCAAACCCCGATGGCAATGCAGCAGTGGCAGATGGTTGAGCAGACGCAAAAAGACCAACCACAACAAATGCAGACGATGGTGCCTGATATCGAAAGACAAATGCAAGAAGAAAACATGATAGGGGAAGCCATGCCCCAAATGCCTGAGAATGCCGAAAAAGCGCGACATAAAGGTAATCTCTTCGGTATTTTACGCCATAATATTACACTTTTTCCTACTGACTCATTTGTTCGATCAGGCTGGCCAGTTGTCGATGAATTCGATATTTTCGGAGTGGGAGGCGGTAGAGATCACAAAAAAAAGCACAAAGGTGGACCACTCAGACCGACAGTAATCAATTATTATTATAACGCCGGAGGCCGCGGGCCAAGTTATGGAGGTGGTACTGGATATGTCCGAGGTGGTGGTGCCGGATACGGAAGCGGTAGTACAAGCTATACCTCCAACCTTAACCCCAGTTATGGCACAAGTTATGGTGGCGGAGCGGGTGGAAGCTATAGCGGCAATAGTGCTGCAGGTAGTTATACCTCTGGATATCCAGCAGCCAGCAGCGGATTATATAGAACGGCTGTTGGTGATGAAGAAATCAGAGCAATGCTTAAGGAACACTCGCAAATGGTAAGCGACTTGACATATTACTTTCAATGTTCTTAGTAGTTTCGTTCGACATTATCTCGCTCGTTGTATTTAGTTAATATTGCATATATTATAAACATATCAATTTACATGCATATATGTACACATGTGTATTCAGAGTATGTAATATACACGTATGATCATTTAGCATTTCGTTACTAATTACTTCATTCATGCTCATCAATATTTTGTTTTTGGTTCTGTGCAAATTTCATATCATTAACAGGCGACGCATTTCAGAAAATGATGCCCGAACCAGACCGGAATCCCGTTATTACCACAGATATGTCAACTACTTCCCCATTCCAGTCCACAACATCATCAATCGACGACATTAACCAGCAAGACACAACATCGTACACTACTTCCACCGAAACCCCTTTGAAAAATCAAAAGAAAAATAGAACCACAGCACCATCAACAACTATTGAGGTGACACCAAGCCCAGCTACGTTCAAGCTCTCAAGGTTAGACTGTAAGTTAGAACTCAATAGTATTTTAGATAAAGGTAAAAGTAACGGTCGTGACTGCATTAGATGTAAGCGAAATGCAAATTATGGTACATTGCAAGCAATTGATGCCAGATCACTAAACGAGCTACGCAAAACTTTTAAGGAATCCCTAAAGGAGATAACGTTGAATCCCGACGAAGATCCAACAGAGGCCCTGATGCGGTACAATGCTGCTTCTATTAGAGAGGCACTGGAGCAAGCAAATCGTGCGCCGATGGAAGTAATTGCTGATGATGTAGGCATGTCAACAATGAAGGCGCACAACAATGAGGCCTATTATGATGGAATTCAACTGCCCGCTCTAAATCATATACAAACTCAAAGTAACGCGGTGCCACAACTAAATATGTATGCAGCTGATGGTCTCAGTCAACATAATCATTATAAGCTCAGTGTTGAGCCAGCTAAGTTGCAACCACATGAAAAACCACATCAGTTACAGCAAGAAAATCTGCACCATTTTAACAATGTTGAGTCCCAAATTAAAGTAGCCGATCGAGAAATAGCTACTGCTCAGACAACTGAGGGAACCACAGCCTCTAGTAAAGATGAAATGATGTCGCCGATATTCTTTTCCGGCAGGTCGGAAAGTGAGCTCACAGCCATATTAGACCTTATTAAACAACAAATGCAAACGTGTTGTGACAAGTGTCGAGATCGTATAATAGCTAATATAAAAGCGAATATTAAGGAAACTCATTCCCACGAAAGTTCTTTGAAAGAAAGTCAACAACAAGTTGCGGAAACAGGCGTTCGTTCAAAAGCAGCAACTGTTACATTGAAATCTAAATCGGAACAAGGCAGAGACGATGAGCTCTTCGAGAAGTGGTTACGTGAAATGGAAGAAAAGGGCTATGATTCCAAATACTTGACTAAGTCTCATCATTGGGAATATTTAAATAGCGGTAAATTGGCCTTAGCATTAGAGACTAATGAAGGCGAACAAGAGGGAGAGAATAGTATTACCAAGAAAACTAGTGATCAATCTTTCAAGCGCTATACACCGCTAAGTTCCGTTAAGACTGATGAGCAACCCAAAAGCAAAAAATTGAATACATCCAATAAGAGCACAGGGAAGGCATTTGCCAAAAAGATACCGGAATTAAATTACTCCATTAAAGAACATGTGCATGTAGTGAATGATGAGCTCCGTCATTTAAAACCACACTCAGAAGAGGTCACATCCAGTCCATATGCCATGAGGGGTAAATTTAAAAATAATTTTTCTAAAAAACATTTCGGTACTGGAATTGCTACTACGCCTGTGAAATTTAATGCGATATCTCAGCAGCAGTCACCGACCACTAGTCCAGTCGATGAGAATAAAGCTAAAGTTGTTGAATTACTAAGCCTACTGTATGATTTGAATCCTCGCACTGAGAGTACTGCAAGTAACAAAGCTACACAACTTTCATATATGGTTACACCACTTGTAGCATCAACAACAATGAGTTCCGAACAAGTTGCCACAACTAGTAGGGCCCGAACTAAACGGGTGCGTTCCAGACGCAAGCAGAAGATTGAAAGTAATATGCCTACGGCTGTAGAACAGAATAGCGTTGTTAGAAACTAATGCAAGGACAATTTGTTAGTTAGCTTTTATATAATCATTAATTATAGTTACATACATACATTATTATAAAATCTTGCATATATATTATTCATAACTAGAATTTCGGGATCGCTGCCTATGTATAACCTTGAAGTCGAATTATTTGTAAAAGCAGAACGTGAAGTAAATAACTATTGAGTTAAGCAAACAAATCATATTTCGTATATAATTTTTTTTAATGTTTTTTTAGTCACAACTTATACAAATTTTTTTTAAATTTTTTTTGTAAAAATGTTGCTCATTTAAGTTTATTTTTTTCATCTTACCATTTCATGTGCCGGCAACCAACTTGGCCAATGTCATCACATACCTTCATTTCATCAATGCCATTTATCATAGTAACACAAATGATAATGTAGAAACATCATCCGCCATGGATCCCGAAATTGTGGGATCACTTTTTAGTTTTAGTCCGAATATTTTAAGACCATTTATGCAATTGCAACCTGTGCCATTGTACGAAAGTGACCCGTGGAATCATAAATCCTACGATCCACATTATCCTCTATATGAGGGCGGCGGTAGTTATGAACCCTATCTTCAGAACAAACGTATGAAACGCAATTCGCATGCATACACAAACAACATACTCACTCCAAGTATACTGGATAACTACTTAAAGATACTTGTGCTGTTTGAAAAGAGCTTCCCGCAGTTGTATAAAAGTTTGCGAGAACAACAACAAGCTTTTAATTTGACACGAGTATCCGTTAAACCCCCCGTGATACCTAAAGTAGTGACGTACCCAGCTACCGAATTGGGTGCAGCAGAACTTTTACCAGCGGATATACAAAACTCCACACAAGCTAATGAACTCAAAACTAAACGCGATGATCTTGAAGACTATTTCTTATTTGATGACGAAGAAGATGAATAATTCTAATAAATTGCAACATTACCCACGTCGACGCTGTCTGCCTAATTTGTGAAAACGTATGTTAAATATTATGAGCAAAAATAAAATGTTTTGAAATATAAGATTTTTTGTGTGATGATTTCTAAACACGATGAAAGAGGTGAATATTACTTTAAACATAAATATTTGTGGAAGCAATTGATAACCGCTTCAATTTGTAATTTGAATAAAAATAATATGAATTCCAAGGGGAATGTGTATACACGGTACGGACGTGCAATTTGAAAAAATACGCGAAATAAAAACTTAAAAAATGAAACCGTTGAAAAATTAAAAATCAAAAAATAATATATTTTTTTTATTAAGCCATAATAAAAAATTCTTAGGTGTTTTTTTTTTCATCGATCAATTGAAATCAAATTAATTGATCGACTCAGTGGGGTGCGACGCATAATGGGGAAAATGGGAGCGATATATGCCCATTGCCGAGAAAATGAGGTAGCTGTCGGAACATTTTCAGTTAATTTTTTCTATTTTACATTTATTGGGCTATCAATCGTGATAAAATCGAACTGCGTATTCTTGAGGTATGACGGCTCAAAGTTAAGCAATCTAGAGTTGAATTTTTGGTCTTTGAAAATTACATGAGTATTGGTGTCTGTACAAAAAAATCAATAGAAAAAACATCAACTGAAGCAGCCTAAAAACATGTACTATATATGTATAAAAAATATAAGCATTCAAATTACCTACAAAGAATAAACTTTTTTGGGAAAATAACAATTTGCTTTGGATCATAAGACTTTTTACTCATCGCAGCTCAACGAAATGCATCTGTACTTTACATACTTACATACTTCGGACCAAAATTTGTTAAGCTTAAATTTTTTTATATGAAAATTGTGCTGCAAATTCTTTTAATATCTCTATTTAAAGCTTGAAATAAATTCAAATACACTTGGTGGGCTATAAGACTTTTAAAGAATTAAGTATCGACATGTCATTAGAAATTAGACACCTAGTAATAGAGTGAAGACAAGTTTCTGGGTATGCTGCGACTCGAAGCACTATCTTGTTACAGCGAAAATACGTACGCGTCTCTGGGTATTGAAGAATGCACGTTAAAAAAAAACAAAAAAATTCGACGTCGGAAAAGCTCCAACCACGACAAACTCCGAACGCTTCTCTATTCGACTTGGATTACTGCTCTCTCTGAGAGCATTCATCAGCAACCGTATAAGGCACTTCAAGTTCCCTACGTACAGCTGCAATTGAAACTATTGGATTTCGTAAAGGTAGCAAAAACAGCTGGTGCGATGTGGACTGCCGTGCCGCAGTGGGGAGAAAACAGGCTGCCTACCTCACAATGTTGCAATCGACGAAGGTTTCAAGACCGGAGCAGACACCTGTATGACACAAAGAGGCGATATAGCAACCGATGCCCAGAGCATACTGAGTTTATGCAGGATACACTGCTACAACAAGCTGAATAGCAGTTAAAATGGAGTATTCGGAGATGGTGCAACGTAGTGGACGAAAGCATGTCCGACGATTGGAATTTAATCGTGGGATAAGCCTTCTTAATATCGCCTGGAAGGTCCTGCCCAGCGTACTGTGACAAAGACTAAAGCCCACCGTCAACTAACTGATTGGACCTCATCAACCATTGACCAGATATTCACCATGCGCCAAATCTTGGCAAAGACTCATGAAAGAAATATTCTGGTAGTGAACGAGGGCAAGACGAAATATTTCCTGTCATCACACAAACAGTCGTCGCATTCGCGGCTCGGAAGACTAAACTCTACAAGTCTCTCATCGTTCCCGTCCTGATATATGGTACGGAAGCATGGACGATGAAGCCGTCGGCCATTGTTATTAAGAATTTATGATAAAATAGAGCATCACAAGCCGATGCATTTTCGAACATGCTACATCGTCAGAGTTTGCACAGTTGCATTTAGGAATGTGTTACAGTGTATGGTTGCTTTGCAAATAATGTTTTGGAACTCACCCTATCCTGAATCAGTTGCAAAATTTTTGTTACCTGCATTTTCTTATGATTATGAAGATGGGTAAGGAATGTCGATTCCCGACTATAGGTTCAGGGAGAGCAAATATAAAAATTTGTATAGCATCCGATTCTTGGAACGATTTTCGATAAAATGTCCAAGTTTGAAGAAATCATATATCATCAAAAAATATAGTGTAATATAATATAGAAATGACAGCTTTAAACACTTAAAGCACTGCCTAATCTGTGTTCCATTTGACGGTAGATATTGTAATCACGATTACCACTTTGGCCGAAGTTCCGACAGCGCGCAAGTATTTAAGGTAAGATAAGCCAAGGAAAGCCAGCACAGCCAAGAAATTTATTTAGACCCAGTAATAAAATTTATTATATTTTATTTCTTAGTTTTTCGGCGGTTTCATTTTCATTTTATAATTTTAAGTGACCCAATATACCAATTATAAAAGTCTTCATTTTTTCTTCATTCTTTTCATTCTATTTTCATTCTTAGGGTAAGAATTCCACATTTTTAACTTAAGATTTTCTTATAAGAAGAATTATCGAAAACCGCTGAAGTGATTTTCGGCCGAGCTCCTCCTTGAATTTTTGTGGTTTTGCGTCTTTATGTATTTCCAAAAAAAGGAGGGATCTATCGTTTACACTGAGCCGCACACGAACGGCTGATGGTTTTTTATGAGAAGCTTTTATTTCACGCCAGAAATACACTCAGAGATCTTGACATTCCCCGCCGAGGGGCGAACGCAATTATTATTTTTTTCCAATAATTTTGAATGTTGGACGAACCAGATTTTTTTCCTTGGTTTTCAGAATGACACTATCCATAAACTCTATTAGAATTTGAATTATTTTGGTATTTATTTTCTTTTATATATCTTTTATCTATTATTGGTTTCGTTTTGTCTGTTGAAAATTATAATTTCGCCAGACCGTCCCCTGGGCAACAACGCAAACGTCACTAATCTTCACTAAGTGTGTTAATTGTGGTAATTGGACACCTACAACTAGTTTCAGTGCTAGAAGGTCACGCATATACAGTATATGTATGTATATGTATAAGCAAACGGCCCATCGTCGTTGTAGACATAATAAATAATACGACGCAAGGTTATCGTGTAACCTTAATTTCATTAGGGTCCACTGAAGACATAATTTATTATATTGCGTACACATGAATGTACTCGTATAATACACCTGTGTATGTATGTATGTATGTATATGTACTCGTACATATGACGTGTTGTATATTTAGATTTGTTTCAAGTTCATTTGTATGATGAATAATTTGTGGACCAACATCTCAGCTGGAGGTACATACATACATACACGTATATTACTGTTACGAGTATACCTGCGAGGAACGTGAACATGCGAAGGCTTTGCAAGTGTAATGAACTTTTTAACGGAAACTTTTTAATGCGTAAACTTTTAATTGAGCTTTAAATTTTATTAAATCATCTGCTCACATGGGTACATGTAAAATCTTACAAGTACACATACACGTACGGCTTAGCAATTTTATCCATACATATATACACAATTGTGTGTCGTGGAAGAGCAATACTGTCATTTGATGGCTGATAGAAAATTCCTTTCATTGCGATTTTATACGTTTCGATAAGAAATTCAGAAGTTTAATAGGAAAATTTTTATATGATGATGATATCTACCGACATTGGTAATTTACATTGACAAATATTAAATGCTTATAACACCGATATTCTATCGTTGCCTTGTCGAGGGCGTGCTGCCAATATTACCCGATAAATTTTTAAGAGTTTGTGCAGTGGGAATTTCCCAGCAGGGTGTTACATTTATAACCGGTGGCTTTACATGTTGTTTATTGCCGCTAAATTAAGAAATTAATTTTAAGGAAACTGTGACCCCGCCCATACTAAAATATGCTCGCAAAAAGGTAATTTAAAGAGAAGAGTAGAACTACAGTGGCTTTCCGATTTTCCGAAAACAATTATTGTCAGGCCGATTCGTTAAATCGGTCAAAAACCATAAACCGTTCGGAGGCGGCTTAGTATAAACTGTAGGTTCCTCCATTTTTGGAAAAACATTAAGACGCAACACTTCAAATTGGATGAGGAGCTCGGCCGAAAAATTGCAGTCGCCTCTCGGCGGGGAATGTCAAGCATCCCCGAGTGTTTTTCTGGCAGGAAATAAAAGTTCCTTTTAAAAATCTATTTGTACTTCATTTGTTGAAATAACACTAAGACGCATACCACAAAGTACCACTAATAGCATTTATGTAATTTGTATGCTACGTTTTTCGTACCGTTCGTAGTATTCTCTCAGTCACTTTTTCATTATTCAAGGTACTCAATGGGTAAAAAAGTCTTGTTGTTGTTATTGTGGTAGTGGGTTTTTTAACCCCACTTAAGAACAGGCTAGTTAGTCTTAGGTCATAGAGGTATTCTAACGGTAGGTCCAGGAAACGAGCTGTTTCGAACGAGAGGTGAAGTGAGTTTAGATGCGTTGGTTTAGAGGGCATGCAAAGAGGTGGTTAGTGTCGTGCGGGGACTCGTTACAAGCGGGACACACGTTAGGTATGTCGGGTTGTGGTTTGACTCTGAAAATATTATTCACAGTGAGAGAGTTTATAAATGTGTTAATTTGCTCTTTGTGAATGGCGTTAAGTGCCTGTCTGCACGCCGTCCTGTCCAGCGGTTGTTGAACATGTTAATGAAAGAATCCTTTTAATGTGCCTGGGTGGTTGCCGACTCTTACCACGACCGGTTCTATGCACCTGAGTTGAGCCGGATTTTATACGCTTAAGGCCTGTTACTCTTTGGCGACTTAACTCCGTTTCAGGCAGCAGGTAACATCGAAATTGTCTTGTTCATTTTATATGGTTTTTGTAGAATCGCTTGTTGGTTATTTCGGAAAGCTACCATATAACAATTTAAAGCGAGAATAAAAAAATATGAAACTGAATTAATTATCTTCCTTAGTAAAAAAACAATAATTTATAGGATTGTAAAGGCCAAAATGACAATATATTTAGCACCGCTGTTACTTTACGCCCTAGTTACGGGTTATTGCAATCTTTGGAGAAAATATCTTTTGATTTGCAGAATATAC